CAAAGCAAAAAACTTGAAGCTGGTCTCCATTTTTGAACAACTTCAGTACACTTTCCAAGCAATCGCCGCTAGTGTGCTTAAGTTGATTGCTTGCCCCGTCCCCTCCCTGGCCCCGCCCCCACGTACCCTTAAACAACTTCTCTGATAAGCACTGCTAAATCTCAATGTTTCCTTTTCATTGACGCTAATTGAATTCCCCTTTTTATTTATTTCTTTATTCATTCATTTATTCCATTATTTCTCCATGTACTCGTGTTTTGAAAAAAAAAAATCTTCATCAATGAAAATCCCGCCCGCAAAAGAAGGTTGCGATCGCCTTTGCGCAAGTTTAAACTTGCGCACGCAAATTAAAATGGCGCGGTGTAATTTGCGTGCTTCAGGAGTCCCTCGCGCAAGTTTAAACTTGCGCGCGCAAGTTTGAACTTGCGTGGGGGACTCAAATTGCGCTCGACACATCTAGTGCAAAATGATGTTTTTTCTTATTTATGACACAGGTCTTGTAAAAATAGTTCAGGTCCAGTATCATTCTTCGGTTGCTAAAAAAAATGCTAGACCTGCTGTCTAGTACTAGTAGTGCTTTTTTTCATGAAATTTGAGCCCTGGCATGCCTGGGCTTTTAATAACGGGATAATTTTATATGAATTGTAGATTCTTATACTCTGTATTTTGTAGGCACAATGCATAACACAAATTTTGGGACGGCAATGGAAATAAGTTTTTAAAAACTTGTTTGCGTTATCCCCGCATTTTCCACAGGATTTTCCAATATTTTAAATTGTTTTACAATGTACTAATAGTAATACTATACTATTTTTGATAAATTTTGATGTGTTCTGTTTAATCTTAACTTATATTCAAACTGTATCATCATTATGTGAAAAATGCAAATAATTTAAATCAAATCAAAACATGCTTAAGGCTTAAGCGCAGTACCGTTCCTTTCGTAACTTTCCATCTATTTCCACAACTGCACTAGTTTCGTGAAAAATTGAGGACACAAATTTGAAAAGTCCACATGCTTCTGTATCTGTATCTGTAGCGTACTGCAAGCAAACTCCACTATGGGATATACGGTTGCAGGCGCGTGGTGGCTAGCAGCATCCCTAAACAATTTTGTTAGTAGGCCCCCTTAGTGTTGAAGACAACTGCATCTCATGGAGTCTTGACTTAAAGGACTCCACTGAAGTAGCTTCCCTGACTTCTGGAGGAAGTAGGTTCCACTGAGCTGTTGTTCTTGGTACGAAAGAGTATCTGTAGCAGTCCTTCTTAGATGTAGGGTGAACAAAGGATAATGAAGATGATTTTCTAGTTGACATTTTGTCCCGTTTGGAATCAACTTGGTACTGATCAACATCAATTGCGATTTTGTGGTGAATGGATTTGTAGAGCAAGGTTAGTCTGGATATGATTCTGCGTTCCTCCAATGATTTCCATCCGAGGTGGGTGATCATGGATGAGACACTACTTGTGCGCCTGAAGTCCTTACAGACGAACCTGGCCGCTCTGCGTTGGACAGCTTCAAGTTTATTTTTGTGGTCCTGATGGTATGGATCCCATATGCTGGCGCAATATTCTAACTTGGGTCTGACCAGGGTCTTATATGCAGTTTCTTTAACTTTGGTGGAGCAGCTGAACAGATTCCTGCGCAACAGTCCAAGAACTTTGTTTGCTTTAGTAGTAGAGTTACTTATGTGTTCGGCCCAGTTCAGTTTGTTGTTTAATTCTACTCCCAGGTAGGTGTGATTTGTGACTGTTTGGAGAGAATTGCCGTTTATCTTGTAAGATGACAGAAGAGGTTTCCTTTTGTGGGTCATGTGCATGGCGTAACATTTGGTGACGTTAAATCGCATCTGCCACTTGGACTCCCAGTTACAAAGGGTATCGATGTCGTTTTGTAGTTTCTTGTTGTCTTCTGGAGTTTGAACTTCACGGTATAATATGCAGTCATCTGCCAGAAGTCTCACTTGAGATGAGATTCCTTCCGGAAGGTCGTTGAGATACAAGATGAAGAGTAGCGGTCCAAGCACAGTGCCCTGGGGCACTCCTGATGTCACAGCTATTGAACTAGATGAACTGCCCTCTAAGACTACTTGTTGAGATCTTTTTGTAAGGAAAGTGTTGATCCAGTGGAGTAGAGAGCCAGAGATCCCAACATGTTTCAGCTTTAACAATAATCTCTGATGTGGAACTAGGTCAAACGCTTTGCTGAAATCCATGATGATTACATCGGCTTGCCCTTGGTTATCTAGGATTTTAGCGAGGTCGTTTACGGTCAGGGTGAGTTGGGTTTCACACGATCGGCCTTTGCGGAACCCATGCTGTTCATTGTTGAGAACGTTGTACTGATCAAGGTGACACATGATGTTAGAGTGGATAATATGTTCAAGCAACTTGCAAGGGATGGATGTCAGTGAAATTGGCCTGTAATTTGATGGATCTGAACGGTTTCCTTTTTTGAAGATAGGTGAGACGTTAGCCCTGAGCCAGTCGTCTGGCAGCTCCCCGGTATCAATGGATTTCTGGAAAATTTGTTGTAGGAGTGGAGCAACACTGTCAGCACATTCCTTCAGGATCGTTGGAAGGATGCCATCAGGGCCTGGTGCTTTCTGTGGTTTTAACTCTTTCAATAGCTTTTTGATGCCTGCAGTTGTGATGGTAATAGAAGACATTTGTTGAAACTTCGGACTGTCAAGGTTTGGGATGTTGTCACAGTTTTCCTTAGTAAAGATAGACTGAAAATGACTGTTTAAGGCATTTGCTTTGTCAATGGGTGTTGTAGCAATACCATTAGCAGTGTTGAGTGTTGAGACACCAGTTGAGCTTTGCCTGAGACTTTTAATGTATCTCCAAAAGGGCTTGGTGTTGTTTGATGTCAAGTTTTCACCTAAATCCAGCAGATGTTCACTACGAGATTTTCTTAAAGTACGGTCTAAGAGGCGGCGCAGCTGTCTGAAGATTTCCCAGTCAGAGGTAGCACCCGTACTTCTGGCTTTATCATAGGCTTTACGCTTACGTCTCATGATGCGTTTGTGCGACTGCTTGAACCAAGGAAGACTGCTGTTGGTACTTGTCATCTTAGTGGGTATGTGTCTTTCCATTGCAGTTGTTAGTGCGTGTTTGAATCCCATCCAGAGTGTGTCTGTAGACTGGGCGGAATAAACTTCTTTGGAGATGGAGTCGGCATATTCATTAATGTCCTCTTTGATTTTATCAAAGTTTCCCTTCTTGAACAAGAATATCTTCCTACGTGGTTGCCTGATTCTTTTGGAAGAAGTAAGAATCTCCACAGACACGATATCGTGGTCGGATATACCAGGCAGGATGTTGACATTCTGGACGAGTGAGGGAATGTTTGTGAAGACCAGATCTAAAATGTTATCTTCCCTAGTAGGGCTAGTCACAACCTGATGCAGATTATGATCTTGAGCGATGTCGATCATTTGCTTGCTAAGGGCTGGGTATCGACCCCCGGGAGTGAAATAAGTTTTCTCCCAATCCACGTCAGGGAGGTTGAAATCTCCAGCTAAGATAATTTGGCAGTTGTTGGTGAGTTTTGAAATAGCAGCATCTAGTTCCTTTAAGTAGACCTGGTTGGTTGCGGTAGATCCAAAATGGCGTCTATAAAAGGCGCCGAGGTATAAGGTAGGGTTGCCCTTGATGTGGATACTGGCCCATACAGATTCACAGTTTGTGTTCAGATCAGGTTCTTCTTTAGCCATAAGATTGGATTTAATGGCCAAGAAAACACCACCGCCGGAGGTATCGGTTTGTCGATCATTTCGAAAAATCTGGTATGATGAGGGCAGGAATTCGCTGGAGTAGACTGAGTCGTACAACCAAGTCTCTGTTCCTGCGATTACATCCGGGTCTTCAGTTTCTAGCATTGCTTGGAATTGAGGTATTTTATTACAAATGCTTTGAAAATTTATGTTCAGTACTTTAAGCAGTTTCTTGCGTTGATTACGATGGCCAGGTTTTTGGTGATTCTTTGGCATGTTTGGTTTGAAGTTTTGTTGCTTTGGGCTGGAGGAGTGTATCGGGCTACCAATGCCCTGTACATGTTCGGGGGCAATACCGTTACCACTCCCATTCGTAGTCACGGTGTTAATCAAGTCACTGAGAATATCAAAGGGGTTTGACACATCAAATGAAACAAACAGTGATGAGTCTGTAAAGTTTGGCATCCCACACTTGAAACATATCCAAACATAAGAATTATGCTGCGTATGTACATGGTATAAATTGTCACTCATACCGACACATTTGATATGGCACCATGTTACACATTCTTCACATTCCATGGCTTTATGGTTGGAGTTCACATTTTTCCCACACACCCCGCAGGGGTATTTAGGTGCTTTTGTAGCTCGTGGGCCTGGGTTCAGTTGAATGTCCCCAGACAGCAACAGGATAAGGATTGCAGTTGTCACAGAATGGCTCAGATTACGAGTTCTAATGTGCATGTAGGGTCCGCCATTTTGTAGAACACATGGGCGAAGCTTTGAGAGTAAATGGAACGAACTCACCCGGGAGATGATGGTTTCACACTTGACACTAGTAGAATTCGATATGCTGTAGTTGTGGGTTTCACTGGTAGAACAGTTCGTGGTTTTGGCAAGAAGTAAGAATCCCAGAAGAATCCCAACTATTGAGTGACGAAGATCCATTGCAGCTTACACAGACAGCTATACACAGTCACGTTGCATGAAGTTAAAGTCCAAACGAAAACATCTAAAAAACACTTAAAAGTCCAACGTAGAAGAGAACTAACGCGGTCAAAGACTACAAAAACTAAATAAAAAACAAGGACGATCGGTTAAAAAAGTGGATGCATGTTAAAAAACGAGGATTAAAAAGGATTAAAAAGCTCATCGAGAGAAGAGCAAAAATGAGTGCGTCTGCTAGCCACGCATGCGTATCCTTTAAAAGGTGTACCAATAAGACTGCATGGGAAAAAAGTGTACCAATAAGAAAACATGGCAATTTTCAATATCAACACTTAAACACTAGCCTGAAAACTTGCGGTCGTCCAAACCCAACGATGAAGTTCCTCGACCCTGCCAGTATGGGGGCTGCCATCTTGCTTCTGAGACTCTCGACCTCACTGGTAATCGGCATCACTTTGTAGGCCTAGTATTTGTTTCAACGGGTACGTACGTGAAGTATACCAGTATGATTTAGTGCATGCGATTTTTTTTCGCGGGAATTGCTGTCAAGTGCATCTGTAGTGTTTTCCTTCCTCCTTGATCAGTGTGTGTGAGTATGACTGAGTATTTTTTTTTCTTTCTTCTACGAAATGTTTATAATATTGTTTTTAATCGATTGGTTTTTAAATTTTTTAAAATAGCATTTGATAATAATATGTAATTTGTTTTAGTGAATCATGATACTTTTAATAGTGTGATAATTAGGCCTATGTCACCATGTGTACATTTATTTGCTTGAGTTGAGACTTGAGAAGCTGTTAAGTAGCTCCAGCTGACAAGTGACATGCTCATCAATCAGGAATTAATTCGACATGTCGCATGTCTTCTGGAGTTACTCAAGCTAGTTAGAAGTCATGGAACTTCAACTTGGTAGCTTGAGTAACTCAAGCTTCAGTGCTTATAATATAAGTTATATATAAGTTATATTATTTATAACCTAAGGCTAAGCATGTAGGCCCTATGGTGTAGGTACGAGCTATAAATTATAGCCAGTAGACCCACTAACTGGGGCATTTAGAACTCTTTTTTTGACATTTGGGATGTGGTCTGTCGTACGTCTAAGCCAGTAGTATGTACGAGCTATAACTTCAGTGTAACTATAAGGCGTACATACGAGTTGTAAGGTGTATAAGGCGTACGTTTTAGTTATAAGGGGTATGATGTAATAAGGCGTATGCATTGGTTCATGTGGTTAGCAGAAGTAAGACTGAAACGAAATTCACCACGTCCTTAATACAGCTTTCAACATGTCAGTGCTTGATTCATTGGAATGTTGTGATTCATTTGAATGTAGATAATTGTGACAACTATGCCGCGAGTGCCAGCCTCAAGCCAGAGGCAAAGCCAGAAGTCTCAAGCGAGGAAAGGAAGGCCCAGGAATGTAGTGGATGCTGCTGCGTCATCAGACTCCGTAAGTCTGTGACTAGCTGGATACCTAGACCTCATATATCGAGATATGCAATGCCTTCAAGGCTCCTCATTGGAGTCTGATTGTCCCTGCCTTCATACAGGTGAAGTGCAGCGCAAATGTATGTATACATACATGTATTTAAATTGAGACTTCCTGCATCAGGACTATATCGTAATATGTTCAGGATGAAATGTTTGTCTCTGGCCTTACCAAGCATTAACAAATCTATGTTCTTAGCGAGAGCCAGCTGAGAACCATTCACAGACAATACAGGGTGAGTAAAAAAAAAAAAACGAAACCCAAATGGCAGGACCAATTATTTTATGAAGTCCTGCATGTAGCACTTCGAAAATCTGGGATATGAAAGCCCAATTAAAAAACTTTCTTTCAGTACAAGAATCAATCAAATCACTCATGTACTTTTCAAGTTACATAACTTTGAACACAAACACCACTTTAAAGTTCTGTCCACGGATCACAAAAAAAATGTAAGCGTTCTTTCAACAAAATGGAAACAATTCACATAGGGATGTACTGGTATGTGAATTGTTGTCATTTTGCTGAAAGAGCACTTACCTTTTTTTATGATCCGTGGACTGAAGTTTAAAACAGTATTTGTGTTTAAATTCCGTATAACTTGATGAGTGTTTTAAATGATTCTTGTACTAAAAGCAAGATGATTAATTGGACTTTCACATCCTAATTTTGAAAGAGTTACATATAGAACGTTATTAAAAAAGAAATGGTCCTGACATTTGCGTTTCCTTTTTTTTTTACTCACCCTGTATGCTTCATTTGGATGTTTTGACTGGTAACCCATTTTTGCCAAGCAAACATTTTTTTGGGTACAGTCAAGTTTGGGGCATAACCTTTGATTTATTTAAATTGTTTTTTTTTCTTTTCAGGATGATGATTATTTTCAGGTTAATGGCACCCAGGCAGCTAGCCAATCACAGACACAGTCCATGACCCAAGCCGAGAAAGCTGCGGCCAAACTCACTCCAGAGCTCATTGAGCGCAAGGTCAGAACATTAACCCTAACTATAATAATAATAATAATAATAATTTGGGAGGCTAATCATCCTTACTGGCAGCTGGGATGCTGAATTGCGGCACGTAAAGCTGCCTATGGCTGCCGGCCACATCGACCCATATATGACCACGGAGCACAGCCTGAGATCGAAAGTGTTTGATTTTTCCGGAGGGAGGAAAACCGGAGGACCCGGAGAAAAACCCGGAGAAAAACCCTCGTGGCACAGGAGAGAACCAACGCACAACTCTACTCACATGCGATCCGCGGCCAGGATTTGAACCCGTGGTCACCTTGGTGAGAGGCGAGCGCTTTACGCACAAGCCACCCATGCCTAACAATCCCCATCCAGTCAAACTCCAACACCAGGGTTTGTTGGAATCTGTTGGAGTGAATACTGTGATAGTAAACTGATTACCCTTTACATGGGGTTAGGCATACCACCAATGCACAGAGTCAAACCGTGTTTTGTACAGTTTACCATGGTGTTGGAATTGGCGAGAGTGAAGAAGGTTCCTAGTAAATCACTCTAGGGGTTATGGTTAATTAGACCAGTGAAGTCCATCAGAGGTCTTGACAAGTCCATCACATGTCACCAGTTTCAAGTCATAAGCTGTCTAGATAAAATTGGACAAAGGATTCCTTTGTTACTATTCAGCCACTTGTTACGTGTGATATGCTGATTTGTGAAATACTTGTGACTGGATTTGTTATGGACTGGACTACAGCACTGTCGTACAGGGAGGTCTAAGATCTTAGAGTTTGGTTCACGAAGGTTGCACTTGCTCTGGAAACATACCTGTGATCATTTTGATGGTCAAAGTACTTGTACTGGAGTGGTACCTGACAACTTGTTGGTACTGAGCAGTTCTTTGCACTCATATAAAAGTACTGGACTATAACACGGGCGAAGAGTATCCAGAACTAAGTACCCCTATTGCCGTCACGGGCGTCACCAGGGGGAGGGATGGGGAGTGGGGTGTGTCAATGGCCTTTATACCAACTTGCATTTGCTCTGAAATGAGGACAGATGTCTTGACCCTGGAGTCGTAAATGTATGGTGCAAAGTCAAAATTGTGTTTAAAAAGTGCTGGGGGAGGGCAGATTGGAGCTAAAGATGTAACACAATTTTGCAAATTTGTAAGGCCAAAAAAAGAGATAGTTCTGCTTCCGATTACATGCCTTTCAAAAATAGGGTCGGTCGGTCGGAATTTTTTTTTTTTTGCCAATTTTTTTTATGCAGATTGAATGGGGTATTCAAATATATGCGAAGTTTTAGCATGAACTATTTCCATTGCACTACACTTACACTACGAAAGCTATACACGAAATGGCAACAAAAAGTGAATAAAACCTACCTTTAATTATTGTCAATATATTTACGTTCGATAATTTAAAAAAATAATGGAAAATTCAGGTCGTTCGCACCATATGCACAACGCTAGTCAAGACGCGGGGACCTGGCCAAAACTCCGAGGTATGTGATCATGCTTGCATGTGTGGCGAGCGGCCCACCATGGGCCGACAGACCTGTTTTGACGGTCAAAAATTTCAGGAAACACGCGGCATGTATCACTCCAAATACGAGTAGTGCGATCTCAAAATGAACTCTTGAACACAGAAAATTCATACACAGACAAGCTAGATCAATTCTGTACATTAACTTGCAAAAATGTTCTTTCTCCATCGGTGTTTTCTTGGCATTTTTACGATGTCGAATCCGACCAGTTGACAGTGGCCTGCACTGCTAGCGCATAGCTGTGGACTGGGGACTGGTTACCGCATTTTCATCATGTCTTCTAAATTGGCCCCTGCGCGGCGTGGTGGGAACCAGTCGTCGCCACGTGATTATAGTCACCGTGACATCGAATTGCGAAGTAGTTATATCGCGAAGCGAATTTGTAAAAATAACGGAGGTTTCTTTTGAAAAAAAGCGAATGTAAGTAAGAAAACAAATAAATACAAGCATTTTTTGATGCAAAAGGTTTGTTGAGAGGTATTTTGTGAAGACAAAAAGACAAAAAGATTTTATTTTTATTTATTCAATTTTTGTTTTTTGTTTTTTTGTTTTTTGGAATTGCCGATAAAATTTGTAGGGTCGCAGCCTAAAAATAGCAGAACTATTCTTTTTTTTGGCCTAAGCATTACCCAGCTGTAGAAGAATTCCAAGCCTGACTGTTTGGACCATTGAATGGTTCCAGATTAGCTGAGAAGATTTTTCATGTGGTATTAAATCTCTTCTGTTTTGAGCTTTAAAAAAAAAAAATTTCATCTCAAAGGTGGGAGAGTTGGTCCAGTATCTACTGATCATGGAACAGAGAAAGATCCCAGTGAGAAGAGGAGGTGAGTGGTAACGGATGAAGTCGTGGAGTTTCATCAGGTTTCCTTGAATATAGGTCATTCCCAAAGAATTCCTGGGAAAGTCACCGAATTCCTGGAAGTGTCTTTAAACATGTCTTGGAATAGATGAAGATCCCAGTAAGGATTTGCTTTGGGGGCTCTTGGCGACCCTCATACCCTCTGGGGATTATTTTGTGGATTTTTTTATTTTCTCCCATCTCATCCATTTATGGCAATGCACTCTTAAAGGGAATATACAACATTTGCAAACATCAAAAAACAAAACTACCAAATTATTATGAAATTACTTACTGGTCTGTCAGTGAATTACAGTCTAAAGCATCCTGTAAAATCGTGGCACCTGGTGTGCTGTCATTTTAAAAGAAAAGTCAAGTGGTATTTTTGTGCAATTTCCAATGATGGTTGGCCGACCAGCTTTGGAAAAAACTGGCTTTTTTTTCAAATACTACCCCCAATTTACCATATTTAGTTAGAACAACCTAAACATTTTGTTTGTAATCGATTACACACCTACGAATGGGTACAAGCCAGCTAGACTGGTTCCCTGACCTTACAGTTCTCCGACGTCTAGAAATTGCTCCATTTCATTTTAAGTCGGGTCAGGGAGCCTGACAACAGAAACATGATTGTTTTTCTTGGTTTTTCCTTGCATCTACAAATACAAAACTTCAAACAAGTCAGTGTAACAATATTTGCTATAAAACCCTAACCCCCCAAAAATCCATCCTTTTCAGAAAATTGCAGCAAAAGCAAATGTTGTACATTTGTATATTCCCTTGAATCCCTGTCAGTTTTCCTACCCCTCTCAAAGAAGTTAGCTTGAATTGCATCTGTGATAATTTTACCTACCCCCAGCCCCTCCCCCCAGAAAAAAACCTAATGGTGTTCATCTTTCCACCTCAGATATTACCAAGAATATCCTGAAGGAGTATCGCACCATCTTGCCTCACGTTCTCGAGAGAGCCAAGAGGAAACTGAAGTCGGCGTTTGGCCTGGAGCTTGTAGAAATCTTGCACAAGACTGGCAAGACTACAATTAAGATGTACATACTGCTGAATAAGATTGACGCCGAGAAACAAGGAGTCTTCTTAGACAGGTAATAGTTGATTGAATTTTGATTTTTTTTTCTTGTGAAATCGAGTAGAACCATCCACAGAAAAGGACAAGCAAGTGAGTAAAGCCTCTCCCGGAGTGCACACAAATTGTTTTCAATTGATTTAGAATGGCTATTCGCTAGAAGTCTTTTTATGCATCTGGTCAACAGTGGGCCAATATGCAAATATTGAGTGGCTCAGAGTGAAATGGGAGGAATAATTATTGCAAGGTAAAATCATGACTTTTCCATTCCACGAGGCAAAGCCGAGTGAACTGGAAAAGTCCAGATTTTACTGAGTGATGATATTCCTCCCATTTCACAATTTAAAGCCACTCAATATTTGTTTTTATATAATTGACATGTAGATCGTTGTCATTTGATATATTTGAACTTTTATTTTAATACAAAATTGGTGGAAAATGTATTTCTTTATTTCAAACCTCCCCTTAACGAAAATGTTTGAACCCAACTCTTTAGCGCTGGCTCTTTGGAACAGTATTCGCAACGCTGAACGCGTGCACCAGCACACATTTGCACACAAATACCGCGTCATGGAACAAGAATGATCCTAACTGTTGAATATAGTATTTCCCATTCCCAATGGGCGAATGGGACTTTTTGAGCCCCGGCGTGAATGGGAGCAATAACGAACGACACGTGATGTGAGTTCCACCAATCAAATGACAAGGATCTGTATGTCAGTTATATAAATGAAACCCATTGACTGGTGTTTCTGGGTGATCCTATACGATAGCACTGCCTGGGCTACACATACCAGTTGTACAGTCAGTCAGTCAGTCAGATAGGTACAAAGAGCGCCACACAATTCTGGCCACCTGGGATTAGCAAAAACAGTTTGGTTATGTTTTTCCGCAGATTTATAATCTTCATTTTGTTGAGAATATTGACTGTGGATAAACAAAGGGAAAATCAAAAGTATTACTTCTGGAAAAGAGACCACTTAAGAAGGTGGCTCTTTTATGAATAATTCTACGGGAAGAATTCCATGCATGGACTTCACTAATGTTTCCCTGCAGAGACCTATCAGCCATCAGAAAGGGATAACATGTCCTGCTAAAAAGTCAAATTTAGCAGGAAAAATATTAAAGCATTTACTGAGAAAACACTTGGAATTTTTTAGACCAGTCTCATAGGGTTTGTGCACAGAGTGTCAAGTGATGTCCAGGTATGGAACTCTTTCCGTTTCTACTAATTATATTGAGTTGGGCTTTCATGGTTGGACTGACAAGAGTCAAATTAACAGTAGGTTCAGTTTGGACAAAAAAGTCCAAAAGTTGACATAAAGAATGTGTATTTATAAAGATCAATCCTCCACTTTGTTATTTTCCGACAGCTCCAGAGACGATCCTAAGGTTGGCCTCCTCATAACTGTGCTCAGTATAATCTTTATGAGTGGAGGTGCCGTCAATGAACGTAAGAACAAAGGCCCAATCTGTACCAGGATATTGAGAAAAACATCTAATAAAGGAATAAATTATGTGCTTGGCCGGTATTAAACAAGTACATTTAAAACCCACTAGGGGCCTGGACACGGTTAAGGGCCTGAGAAGAACATCATCGGCAACCAGGGCCCTAACCAGTTTTAAACGTATTTGTTGTTTAACACAGACCAAGCACATTTCCATCCGTAAATACCTTTCGGTCAAAAAGTCAAAACAAGTAAAATATTATGAATTTCCAACGATTTTGTTCAACAATTTACTTCATGTTTTATGAAACACCCCTCTAGCTTTGTTTATGGTATGTGCCTTGGGCGAGTAGTACTAAAATCTCCTTATATAAAGATTGGGGCGGGCTTATCAGAATAGCCTAAATGTGTCTATCAATCCAATGAGCTTACATAGGGGTGTACAGTTACGAGTAATACGGGAACCAATACTTGATTGAAATAAAAATGGGTACCTGGGTACCCATTAAAGAAGCCCAACCCAAAATTCAAATCTCAGAATTTGCTGCTCAGATTTTTCATAAAGATTGGCATGACAATACTGCCACATTGGTGTGTGTCAATGCAGCAAGATACAAGTGTGCAAGATGCAAGCTTTATAGCTTGACAAAAACTGCAACTTTCGCGAGCGTCATAAACGTGAATTATGTTTTGGTTTTACCATGTAGCCTGGCTTTCATTTTGAAAATTCCTTACAAATGGCATTCAAAAGCTTTCTTTGTCATTGTCTGAGAAATTACCGTGTAATATGTAAAGTTGGTTACGGGTACCCGATCCCATAATCTGGAACCGATTCCTGACATCAAACGTCGGGTACTTGATACCCGATTCTGACGCACAGCCCTAAGCTTACATTTTTTGTACTTTCTCTCACAGCTGTCCTGTGGCACACGTTAAAAAAGCTGGGCATCAAACAAGACGAGTAAGTTTCCTTTTAAAACTAAAAAAAAAATATATGCAAGTAGCCTTTGTTTTAAAACAGGTGTAACCACTTGCAAGCCATCTTTTTGGTTTTGTTGTATTTTGATTTTTATATTACAAATAAATGAAAATACCCAGAGAAGTAGATAACCCAATAAAGATAAAAGATTTACGGTTGCACCGTGTGACAAATTTCTTTTGTGAGTTTGTGAGATTCTGAACTGGGGGGAATCTCAATGTTTCGGACGGTATACTCTGCTCGTCATCAGAAGACTGAAGGGATTCTAACGGAGAGGGTTTGTTTTGTAGTGGGACTGGAAGCAGTGCAGCATGTGAAGGATGCAACAGTGGAGTCCTAGCTGGAGCAGGGGATCCTGGCTGATCAGTGAGGCAGTCCCTTCAGTCTTCTGACGACGGGCAGAGTATACTGTCCGAAACGTCGAGTTTTCCGTGTTTTTTTTTTTTTCAGAACCTCACAAACTCACAAAGAGATTTGTCACATGTGCTACCGTCATAGAGCTATATTAAATTACTAGAGTGCTAACTCCTCATTCTTGCACGCGGAGACGCTTTGAAGCCGTCCTGGCCGCAGATATTTTGAATTCATGTGCGTGTTTGTAGAACATGAGATTAGATGGATTGAATTTTGAAAGTGTACTCTAAATGCAACGCTCAGGTAGAACCGTACGCAAACTTCTTACGCGTGTTTTTTGCTTTTTTTTTTATATTTGGATGCAGGAAGAATCACGAGGTGTTTGGAGATGTGAAGAAACTGTTGACGTCTGAGTTTGCCTCCAAACAAATGTGAGAGTAGAAGATGGCAACTTTAAACTTGGAGCAAGTTTGATCAAGCATTATTCATTGGTCGACTTGTGGTTGATTCATGACATACTTTGTGCCTGTAATGTTCAAGTTTGAATATTTATTTCTTATTTTAACTGCGTGGCCCATTCAGTGGAATCCACTGGTTTCCCATTGGGCCCAGTAAAGAGAAGACAACGTGAAGAAATTACAGTTTTAGATGTGGGAGGAAAACCCCAGAAGAATATATTCTGAGGAAAACCCACGGAATCAAGTAAGGACTGAAAATCCAATCCACATATTGGTCCGGGCAGGAATCGAACCCGGGTCACAGCGGTGGAAGGCGAGGAAAGTACTGTACGCCAACCTGACTCCTCTAAAGCCCGGTTCATACTCGGCGCGAAAGCAAAAGTGAACTCGAATTGGTGACGTCATGGCAAGTATTCGTGCTGCGAATTCGTAAAAGTTGAACACTCTCAACTCGGGCGAATTTCGCAGCGAACGTTTCTTGACGTCAAATTCGCTTCGCATTCGCATTCGCGCCGAGTATGAACCGGGCTTGAAACATCAAAATTTGTCTTCAACTACAACACTGATCATGAATTGATGTTGATCTGTAATTTGTGTATAATGGTTTCAATCATTGCCAGGTATTTAGACTACAGTCGCATCCCAAACACGGATCCAGCAGCTTACCAGTTCAAGTGGGGCATCAGAGCCCAAACTGAATGCACCAAGAGGAAAGTGCTGGACTTTGTGTGCCAGGTGAGGTGCTGGGGTCCTTGTAGCTATTCACTTGTACCAACCATAGGCATCGATCAGTTGGGGATAGGGTTGGGGGGGCATAACATGTGGGGGACTTATACAGTGGAGGACTGTATAAAGTGGGGGGTAATAAATCGTCTCCCCCCCCCACACTTTTTTCTTACACGAATAAAAATTGTAGCCTACATTTGATTCCATAGCTCAGAATAGCTGATTCAATGACTCCAAACGGAACAATATGTTTAAATGATGATCTTTTGCTAAAGAAAATGGTTAAAGAGGTTAAAAATTCCTCAGATCCCACCACAGAGTGTCTAGAATACAACATATAAGGCTTCGCGCTCACATTAGTTTTGATCATGTTATGCCCCCCCCCCCCACACTTTTGAGAAGAGATTGACACTCTTGCATAGCTGCCAACTGTTACTAATTTTTCGTAATTATTACGAATTGTTTGTTAAATTACGAAAATACGATTTGCCACTAAAACATTACGAATTTCCCATTTTCTACCTAATGAAAAAAAAAATACTTGTAAAGTATCGTTTTTGACCGAAAACTTCTGGCGAACTGTCGCGATAATGGATGGACTGGTGACAAGTCTAATAAGAATGCAGTCAAGCACCTGATAGACATCAATGCAGTGTGCGCAGTGGAGTACTTGAGGACCAGACTAAAACTATTTTTCAATGGTGTGTCATTTGTGTGCATCTCGTGGATGTGTGGTTGTGTGTACTGTATGTGAGTACTTTTCAGTGACGATCGTGAGCACATTTGGTCGCTTTTTGCCGGGTTGAGACCCATCAGTGCGACAATTTAATCATGGAATTTAATAAGAGTATGGTTGGAATAATTGGTATTACAGTTTGAGTTTGTCACATTGTCCAGAAAAGATAAATCAGCATGCGTTTGCAAGGTATGTTGGCGGGATATTTCTATTGCATACGGTCATGACGGTGGCCCTAAATCATTGTGTGTAAAAACATTGATACGAACTCGAAACTCCACATCGATAGCATGCATCTCCCAAAAAATATGCGCATATTTTATTATTGTTATTATTTATTTGACTGCAACAAACAAATACAGACATTAAAAAAAAATTATTAAAAAAAAAAAAAAAAAAAAAAAATTTTTTTTTTTTTAAATTATCTTTTGGCCTACATTACATTATTATTCACAAGAAGAAGGGTATGCACATGTATATGTACATGTAAACCATGTACCTGTACTCGATGTTGGTAAAGCTTTTGATAAAACGAGCAGTTGAAAATGACCGCGCGGGTTGATTACTAATTGGGATTTTGAAATGTTGGCAGCTATGCTCTTGGCACGAACTGCTCCATTGATGAGTGCTGGTGATCTTCGTTGCAACTCTCATTTGATAAACTTTATTTAAAGGCAGATAGGATTAGTTGCTTTTCATGCATTTTGTTCGTTACCAATAATAAAACCACTCAAAATCTAAGGAAGAATGTTTAAAACCTAACCTCTTGAAGTTTCAGCTCAGTGGGAATAACACTGGGCTCAGTAGATATATCAACCATGCACAACCTTTTGATCACGTGAAAATGATTTTGTCTAACTATAGAATTCTTTATTTCCAAAAATCAGTCAATAGACTGATCGTTGGAAATCGCCTACATTTCTTGATTCTTCTATAAAATGACAGTATAAAGCCAGGCGGAATTATTTCAGGGGGTGCTTAGTACCAGTACGATCTTAAATCTAAGTAAGCTTTTTGATAATAATTTGGCTACTTTTTGGATAAATGCAAATGATCCTATATGCCTTGAACTGGTTACCTAGGGTCAAATTTCACCATACACATTGTACACAATGAACGTGCAGTGATAATAGTTGTAAGCTACCCATGCCGACAACAATTTCTGAGCTGGCACCACGGCACATGGACATGATCACAGACAACTAAACAACAGGAGAACATCTTGCCAGAGCTCATGTTCATTTTTTGCTGGGCCCCATTTCATGATGCTGGTTGCAGAAAATGCTGTGTAGAAAATTTTTCTTGTTGATCCACAAGTATGTAATTTACTTTGGAAAGGAGTTGTGATGGACTTGCGAAGGCCGTGAGTAATCCCTATGGAAATAGACTTTCCCCAGTTAAAGGCATATGAAATTATTTGCATTTGACGTAATTTCACGAAATGGGCTGATAATAAGGGCTATTAATCTATAGCAGACATCGTTCCACTGAGCTGTTCAATGTTTTGTGTCAATTATTGCTGGAAGGATACAAAAAAGCAAAAAAAAAAACAACAACACTTCATTTTTAACCGTCAAAGTACAGCTCGCGGAATCTGACGTGCATAGAACCTATAGGTCACATAGAGTGCTAGCTCTGTCATGGGAAAGTAGTATATACACATACCTATAGCGTACCCGAGTGTATGCATGAAGTCAACAGCTGGCTTGCGGCTGTTCAAGAGATGTAATTTGTGAGAAAACTGTTCTTGGCAGCGATGGTTAGGTCCTAGCCATCGTTAGTACTGATACAAAATTCCACTTCTTTTGAGAATGACAGCATACCATGCTCAACGATGTCACATGATGTTTCATACTATTATTTACTTGCACTCAAGTGGGCGATTTCATAATATTTTGGCAGTTTTGTTTTTCGAGTGTTTGCAAATGATCCCGTATGCCTTTAAGAAACCCCAGTTCATTCTGCATTGGTTACTGTTTTCTGACAGATGTATGGAAACGACATGGACGTCAAGACCTGGAAAGAGCAGTATCGGGAGGTTTTGCAGTCGGAGAGTACTGGTGACAATGACGAAGACAACTCGGAATCGTCCGAAAAAGATGAATCCTCAGATGAGTCTGACTAGGACGGCTGCCAACATTCCCTAATCAACACACTGTTTTCCTTTCTGGAGACAAATCCGTTTACTTTTTAACCCTCCGGCGCAGAATCTAGCCCTTTTGGGGACCCAATTTGGTTAATTACCTTAATTAAAAAATAAATTTCAAACCAATTCTGGTGATCTTCCATCTAATCCTAGCAAGAGACACCCTCTACGGATATATACAGTCACCTTTAGTGTGTGACCCCGGGTCAGGCATATCTGAGCATGAAAACCTGGGCTAAGGACCGATGCAATTTCTGCCCATCCGGGGACCCACCATATACACGCGCACAAAACAACTCCGACGCAATTACTGCCCAACCGGGGACCCACCATATACACGTGCACAAACAAGGTCACTTGCGAGTAGACAGTGCACGGCTTGACCACAGACTATGTATACAAATACACCTCCTTAGTCTACAGACATGGCAAGATTGTGTTCATGTGGATACAGTGTTGTGTAGCCTCAAACCGTGGCGCTAAATATTTGGGTCCCCGGGGGACCCCTTACTGTAAGTGTGTTACTAAATGGGCTTTCTGCGTCGGAGGGTTAAAAAGCTTAAGGCTGGTTTATACCTGATGCAAATGAGAATGCGATGCAAATTTGACATTAGGAAGCATTCGCATTTGAGTTGAAATGAATTCGCAGCATGAAAAGTTGCCCTGACGTCACAAATTCACGTTCTATGAACCAGCCTTTATACTATATGGATTCCTGTAGGAACAACAGGTTGCTCCGGTTGACCACCCACATACGCTCCAGTGTTAGCAGTGTTTGTGGGCATGTCTCCAAAAACAATGTAGCAGTCAAACAACATTTTTTCTGAGGAAACTTAATATTTGTTGGGTACAAAAATCTACCATGAGACGATAGTGTTTCTTTATTACCCTTGACAGGAGTTTTGTTCTGTGTGATTTGGACCTTTTGTTTAAAAGTTACGGCAAAGCTTGTAAAGACTGTCAAATCTGTTTGGGACACTTTCTTATTTATTGTTCACAAATCTTTATACCTGTTCACCGTTTCGTAACATGGGTTGAGGATTTTTCCTAAGACAATGATTTTAGAATAACAGCTTTGTAAGGCCAAAAAAAATAAGTCTCCGATTTCTGGTATGGAGCTTGCCCAAAAAGTGGTGCGGCGACGCGGCTTTTTTTTTTACCTGTTTTTTTTTGCTTCAAATGTCGGCTGATGACTGCAAATGGTGCCCGACTAAACTTCGTGCAAATATATGGGAGTCCAGAGAGGCCACATAAAGCTTATTCTCGATCATAACCCCATCTAAAAACACGTTAAAATTGTGCAGCAGCAGGATTCCAGTCAAACCAGTGAGTTTGGCGGTTTGAGACATCATCTTTCATTGAAAAAAAACTTTTTTATTTTGCCGACGTGCATGGTTACGGCGACGCGCGCGCATACCAGAAACCGGAGACTTTTTTTTTTTTGGCCTAAGTAACAATTCTTTGACATAGTATCATTAAATCTTACTTTATTGTCCATTTAAAAAAATTTTTTTCAAACTTTGTAAAGTTGGTAAAATGATATTGCACTTGCTTGGTTTGAAGTCCAACAACACACCTTCTTGGTATGTGAATGTCTTTCATTAGCTACCAGATAATCGGAATAGGTGCCCAATTTGGAATTCAACTCCTCATTTAATTTATCTGAGGACTGGGATGTCCAAATAAGATGGGATAAAGACCATTGTGTAGGGTATTTATTATGTAAGGATGTGACTTTGCGTTTAATTTTGTAAACGTTTTGCAAGTATTTTAAGCACTGTTTAAACGTTTAAACATTTAGCCTTTCACAAAGGCTGCAGCTGACACATTCCCATTATGTCTGCAGTGGGGATCAGTGTGATTGACATCAATCAACATTGGCAGCTACATGTATTGAAAGAGTAAAACCTTAACTACGTACGTGTGCCCCGAATGTTGAATCAAGTATAGAAGTGCTTCAAAGGTTTTGTAAAATAAATATGTTTGGAAACATTGGTATAATTCAGGTTTAGTTGAAACGATTTTGGAAAATTTCAGATTTGTAAACGGCTTTAGAATATTTATGTTGAGCTGAAATCTTCGAAGTTAGGGACTCAAATAGCATCCGAAGCCGAAATGGGGACGACGCCGAGTTTTGGAATACCCCTCGGTAAGTATGTATACTGGATTGGACGGGAAATGAAAAGAAATCGAGTTTTGCATTACAGAGTAATCCGCATGATGATATCGATGGACAACGCGTATTATTGTGTCACTCAAAGTGTTACTTTGATCGATTTTTACAGAACCCTTTGATGAGATGTTCTTTGATGTCAGTCTTGTCAAATTTGTACAGGAACTATGACACTGAATCATTCTATAGTTTGCATTATCCTCCGTCATGCCAGTCACATCATGCGCGATGTGTTTAAAATCGAAACGACCGAAATCACAAACATGTCTGTTGCCACCAATAGTTTCAATGGGGTCTACCCGATGTTCCCCAATACCCATGTTCCCCAATACCGATGTGCCTCGAAATCATTATGGTTATAGGGTTAGGGTTAGGGTAGTGATTTCGGGGAACATCGGAATTGGGGAACATGGGTATGCACCGGTCTCAATATTGCTACATTTGTCGTCAAAAAGCACAGAATCAGCATAATCATGGGCGTCAATCCTGGGGGGACAGGGGGACATGTCCCCCCACTTTTTGAAGGATGGGGGACACAATATCAAATGTCCCCCCAGATTTTGAACTCGTACCTCATTTACAGGGCCCTATTATGTACTTCAATGTATCTTTTGCTTAGAAAATATTGCATTGGTTAAAGTGGTCAGACATTGCCTCAGATCGCTCCACAGAGCATTTAGAATCCATAATTTTTCGGGGCCCTCAAGCGGGCCCCGAACCCCACGCCTTTACCGGTAGCTTAGAATATAATAGCTTATTCATTGACTTCAACCTCGAAAATGATGTTTAAATCATTATCTTTTGCTCAGAAAATATTGGTTAAAGTGGTCAGAAATTGCCTCGGATCGCACAAGGGCGGATCCAGGGGGGGGGGGGGGGGCAAAGGGGGCCATGCCCCCCCCCCCCAAAACGAAACCAGTTTTTTTTTTTTTTATGTGACATCGCAATAAAGGCAGGCAATGAGTACACCACCATCTTTTCCTCAAAAAAACATTGGTTAAAGTGGTCAGAAATTGCCTCAGATCGCACCACAGAGCATCTAGAATCCAAAAAATTTTCGGGGCCCTTAAGCAGGCCCCGAACCCCACGCCGTAATTTTTTTGACCCACTTTTTGGGGGGACCAAATTTTTTTTTGGCCCCCCCACAAAATTGTGTTCTGGATCCGCCCTTGAGATCGCAACGCAGAGCATCTAGAATCCGATTTTTTTTTTCGGGGCCCTCAAGCGGGCCCCGGCCGAACCCCACGCTGTAAGGGCTTCGCACTTCGCGCTCGCATTATTTCTGATCAAGGCATGCCCCCCCCCCCCTCCCCACACACACACTTTTGAGAAGCGATTGACGCCCCTGAGCATAATACATACGTTTAGAATTTTTGCTGGAATCAAGTTTTTGTTAGGCAGATATTTTTCAGTGCTAAGCAAATTTGCGTATTTCCAGCTCCATGACACTCATAAGCTAAAAGTTGTAGACCTGGAAACAGTTACAAAGCACCCTCGATATTGGGCTGCTTTATCCAAAGGTGCTATACGGACCTAGTTTCTTTGCGCTCTCGTAGTAGTACGGATTGAACTCGGTGACCTGGGTTCAACAGTTTTACGGTCGACTTTTCTGCAAGTTTCAGGTTCTGGCTCCAATAGAACAATATTAACGCCGCTGATTTAGGACAAAACTAGTGAAAACATTGGCTGATGCTTTAGCGTCAAATGCAACCAGTGAGGTTTCGGAAGCCTCGGACACATGGGCATCAAAGAACCACTTAGATGCCACTGCGTCCTTGATGCGTCTGGTCTTGACACTTATTGTCATGTTGGTTGGAGTGCCAGGTAACTGTCTCATCCTCCGTGTCTACTGGACCAAGATCCGTAAGACCAGCACCCACGTCTTAGTCATGGCCTTAGCGTGGGCAGATCTCGCTGTCTGCGCGCTCAGACTTTTGACGATATTGTTTGCACTTCTTTCTCCTTCCTTCTGTCCTTATAGCGTCGAGTATGGGCGTTATGATAGTTAATATAGTGTGCCTGATTGTAGGATTTTATTGGGGCTCCCCATTGAAAATATGGCACGAGTCCCCCCCCCCCCCCACCCCCACCCCACCCCACCTATTGATTTTCGGAGGCCTAAGTGTCTCTAGAAAATAACCGGTCTACATTTCAGCACACCCTGAAAAAAACCCATTCTGGATCCGCCCTGCTAACCCCCCAAATATATTAGCTCTAGCGACTGCGATAGCAGTTCAAGGGCTGCATGCCCTGCAGTAGAATCTGTAGAAATGACCCCGGAAAGTGAAATTCACGAAAGAAAGTAAAACTCATAACAAAGAGCCAGGCAGTTTTTGGCTCAGTGGAACGCCACCCCTCCCCCCTCGATCCCCAAAGGTGAAAACCCTGGCAAGTCGTCACTGGGGTAAAGCGTAGTCCCATCCGTTCGCTAGCTGCATTTGTTGGGCCAGCATTAATCATTACGCCTATTACGCAAGTTTATTTATGCACCTGGCGATTTTGAGTTCGACTTAACCAAGTTTCCGGTCCGAAATTTCGAGTAAGTGTGGGCATGTTTAAATATGATTTGCGAATCGCGGGGAAAGTAATCGCACGCACTCCATATAGATCTCAGAACAGTCGTTCATCATAGTAGACTAGGCAATATTTAAACAAATGTTACATGAAGAGGCATTTTCGAGTAGAAGTTGGGTAGCATACCTAATTCGGAGGTGCTGAATCTGAAAATGATGGTTACCAAGCTTTTTTTTTTAGTGGAAACATGCCTAATTTCCATAAATCTTTAATACCTGTCGAGTAATATAATTGTTCTCATATTTGGGTATATTTTATATTATTTTAATTTTTGAAAAGTTTATTTTGGTGATTCTACTTGCACTTTCTTGATTATTTCATTACAATTTTCCAAAGCATACAAGTGACTGAATAATTATGAGGACATAGTAACAATCCAAAAAGGGATACTATATTACACCTTAAAGTTGCGCGCATTTACCTTGTCTCCAGATATCATCAAGACAGTATTATCTTGCCAAAACTCAGTATGGATGAACTTCAAATTCACCATGTTGCTTACTGGTATAGTTACCGTATTAAAACCTCATGGAAAATCATTTGAACAAAGATAACATTGTGATATGAAACGGGGGAAAACCGAGGTGTCAGTAAATTTGGCAAAAAAATAGTTAAAGGGTTGCATACCGCCTAACGTGGGAGACTTGAACAAGTTTAAGTAAATTCCCAATATAATTGGTAAGAAAACGTTTTGACGTTGACATACTTATTGTAAGCAACAATCATCTTTTATTCTGGGGGATTTCCTTGAAGTTGTTCAAATCTCCCACGTTAGGCAACCCTTCAACTAATGTTAAGCCCAACTTACGGACACCTCATTTCCCCTGTTTTCTTTTTTGGCCTACTTTTTCACATAATGTCCCATTCATTTTTGTTAGGGTAACTGTGCTAGTAAGTAACTTTGTGAATTTGAAGCTCATCAATACTGACATTTGGCGAGATTATTATATCTGAGGAAAACCAAATGTGCGCAACTTTAGGGTGTAATAGCAGCCATTTTGGATTGTTTGTTTATCTTCATAATTATTCAGTCAATTATATGCTTTAGAAAATGTTATTAAAGTAAGGAAGTGTAAGTAAAATCACGAAAATAAACTTTAAAAAATTAAATAAAAATACCCAAAATAAGAAAACAATATATTACGCGACAGGTATTAACGATTTATGCAAATTAGGCCTATTTCCACTTAACATCTTGCTTGGTAACCATTATTTTCGGATTCATTACCGGCACACTTTCGCAAAAAGTGGTTCGGCCAGCAGCTTTCTATGCAACTCCTCACTGGCCGAGGGTTTTGGGCGTAAACCTTATCAGTCAGCCGATCACGCTCAATTGACTTAGGCAAAACCGCAAGTCCCATCATAAAGAATGTATATTCAATAAGTTAAAAGGACCTTTTTTTCCAAGAGTGTGTCTCTAATGTTCCGTGAGTCACCCCAAAATTAGGTAAAAAAGCTTTGTTACCAACTTCTAATAAAAATGCCTCTTCTTGCCCTAAATGGGCTCTTTTTTTAAATTATCGCCTAAAAAGTAGACTATAGGCAGTTTGGACAAGGACCATTAGTCGACTAGTGGTTGATGTGTGACGTACCCTATGCCTGTGCACTAATAGCAACGTGCGAACGTCTCTATAGTCAACGCTGGTCAGAATTCATCACAAAACTTCTGGCTCCCTGTTGTACGTTATGAATGCGCGCGGCTAGGCTATTGGTCACCAGCTTTGCAACCAGCCCCAGTAAGTTGGTTCCAAGTAGTCGACTAACTTTTGTCGAACTATATGGTTAACCATGGAGCTATCATCCTTTTTATAGATCCATGGGGTTAACCAACAGTCTTGGTCAACAATAATTCTTGTGCAAACGTGCCGCAGTATGTGTAAGCTCCTTGGCCAAGCTCAGCGTAGCCTTTAGTCAAGTCCCACGCGCCTATACCCGGACCATCCGGACAAGTAACGCACCCCGGATGCTGGCACGTAAAAAGACTAGCACGAGCGGCGAAGCCGCGAGGGCATTTACTATCTCGTGGAACTAATCACTTATTCATTTATTCACATATATATATAAATCAAACAATATAAACCAATCATCTAACGGTGGTTTGCAGTTACCAGCAACAGCACCCGCGCCATGGCGCGCGTGCTGTCTGGCGCCAGACGACGGCTGATTTACGTTAGTAATTCTGCATTTTCATTGGTCAATTCACAACGGGTAATGCATTACGCATGTCTACCAAATCGGTAGACAAATGTAAAGAAAAACATAAGCGTTCTCGTCGAGATGGCAAAGGCCCTCGCGGCTTCGCCGCTTGTGCTAGTCTTTTTACGTGTCAGCATCCGGGGTGCGTCACGTGTCCCGGTAAGCGCGTGGGACTTGACTAAAGGCTAAGCTCAGAGCAACAAAGAGGCTATATAGCTTCCGTGGTACCTTTGAAGCGGCTTTTCACTGAGGTGGGACTACTGTGCAACCCCAGTGAACCGTGACCACTCACACACAAGTCTTTTCATGCGGGGATGCAACATGATTTGACTGGACGTACTCCAGCCCGTAACAGCAACAAATTATTAATGCTGGCCAAAATGCAGCTAGCATGTAATTATATTAAGTCCCAGCGAACGGATGGGACTACGCTTTACCCCAGTGACAACTTGCCAGGGTTTTCACCTTTGGGGATCGAGGGGGGAGGGGTGGCGTTCCACTGAGCCAAAAACTGCCTGGCTCTTTGTTATGAGTTTTACTTTCTTTGGTGAATTTTACTTTCCAGGGTCATTTCTACAGATTCTATTGCGAGGCATAGGCCCTTGACCTACTATGCTCATGTAATAATCCCATGCAGTGGAAATAGAATTGTCATTTGTGTTCATCTTTTGTTGCTTAGTTTTGCGTAGGCAACTACACAGCGAAGGCGAAAACTACTAGAACACCAGACAGGGCTTCATTATGGGCAGGGTTCAAGTTGGCCATTCCCACCAGGGCTGGTACGCAGTTCTCTGCTTCTTTGTCAGCTTCGTATTGTGGTCGTGGGTCCTCAAGGCTTTGGGAGTGATGTTACCAATACTACAAGAGCAATTTGCGACCCAAACCTGGCTGGTCGGCTGGATGATAGCAATCATTAATGCGGTCTCATGCGTTACCGGTAAGGTTTGGAATTATCGCATCTGAGCCACTTTATAATCATGTGCGCCTGGTCATAAGAGCAGTACAGCACAAACCTGATCTGACCCAAGGTTTTCATTAAGTGTTTCTCAGCTAGGATAAGAAGTGGATAACCTGTACCTCAATATTGATGTTTGGGTTTTTGTGATGGAGCTGTTTTAAGTGAGTAGTTCACATAATTATTCTTGTAGCACAAATGCACAAAATATGCATCATTTTTTTTTCGAAATGTCCACACAGATAACACATTGTAAGTGTTCATGTAAAGCGTCTGTACAATGATGGGAATGTTGATTAGATACGGGAGCATTTTCCTGCAACACAGGCGTCAAATGTGAATGTAATTGTCTCTTACTAACGTTATAAAAAGCTAATAGAGCCATGGACCACGGGGAAACAGTAAAATGCAGTGTAGTGTAAATTATGCGATGACTGGTAGAAAATTTGCATTTTGGAACCAAAAATGGGAGTCGGGAGGAACCGGAAGTAGTGCTGTGGGGCGGTATAGGTAGTGCCCGGCCCCCTTTTTTGTGCCCGTTCTATGGGGAATTATTGGGGGGGGGGGGCGGTTTGAGGAGGGAATAAGGATCAATTGTAAAGGCTATTCAATAGATAACAGGATTACCGGTTTATGTGAAGCTCAACAGGGTTTAACTTACCATGGGTAAATCAATCTACCAGACGAGCCATACGCGCAGAAAGCAGAGACAAGGCCAGCAATCTGGACGCCCTGCTGATTGGTTAAAATTTAAATCCTTGCGTCGCTCAATCGACAGAGGTACTGAAAGCTCACCAGCGATATGTCAATGAGGTGATAGGGGAGAGCCTAAAGAGTGACAACACAAAGCCCTTCTGGAGCTATATCAAAACCACAAGCCAGGAGGTGTTTGGTATATCAACTCTCTCTACAATGGGACGCTGTGTCTCTCTTGCTGCCGATATTTCCAGGCCATGATTGAACAAACAGTTCTGCACCGTCTTCACGAAGGAAAACCTGAGTGACTTCCCAGACTTGGAACCAAATGACATCCCAGATTTACCGAATTTCATCATAAACACAGCTGGCGTAGAAAAGCTCCTCGCTGACATTCAACCCCCCAAAAAGCATCAGGACCAGACCAGGTTTCTGCCAAGATTTTAGAAAGCTGCTCCTCCGGCCTAGCTCCGGTGCTGCAAAAAATGTTTCAGAAGTCTGTGGATACTGGTACTCTACCAGACGAGCCGCGTAAAGCAAACGTCATCCCTACATACAGAAAGGGGACCGCACAAATTCCCGCAAATTACAGACTGTTGTCACTAACTTCAATTCCAAGTAAAATCTTAGAACACATCATCCACCGTCATATCTTGGACCACGACACATTTAAAGTTCTCTCATATCATCAACATGGCTTCCGTCAAGGTAGATCATGTGACACTCAACTCGCAGATCTAACTGATGACATTGCTAAGATCTTGAACAACAAAAGCCAGGCAGATCTGATCATATTGGATTTTAGCAAGGCCTTTGAAACGGTCCCCCACCAAAGATTACAACGCAAGTTGGAGCACATCGGCATCAATAACAGCCTACTTAAATGCATAAACACCTTCCTCACCAACACACATCAGCGTGTACAAGTTGAGGGGGATGCCACCAGAATCTCCAGTTACATCAGGAGTGTCCCAGGGAACCGTGGGCCCTTTTCTCTTCTTGTTTTACATCAACGACTAACCAAAGGCAGTCTCATCAAAAGTCAGACTGTTTGCAGATGACTGCATAATTTATAGAGAAATTGCAAGCAACCATGATAGGCAGCTCCTTCAAAAGGACATCGATTCTCTATGCTACTGGAAGCCACAATGGCAAATGTCATTCAATACAACAATGTGTCATGCGATGCACGTCAGCCACAAGGTCAAGCCCACCGTCCATGCGCACAACATGAACGGAAGTGCTCTTGAAACAGTGAACCACCACCCATACCTTGGAGTGGAGATCAGCAAAGACCTCAACTGTGCACGCCACATACATCAAGTCACAAGTAAAGCAACTTAAGCAAACTGGGTCTCCTGAAATGTCCACTCGTGCAGCAAATCAGTCATAGTCAGGTGGCTTAGATCTAATTTTCGTCAAGATCGTGACCGACTGGTCCAAAGCACCAAACTTGGGAGATAGACTCTTATAGACCTAGAGAAGATATTTAGAAGGTGTGACACCTGAAATTCTTTTTGGAAGAGTGCCTAATTTGCATAATTTGTTAATACCTGCGTGTAATATATTTATTCCCATATGGGGGTATATTTGAAGAAAAAAAAAAGTTTTTGAAAAGTGTATTTTGGGATTCTACTTACATATCTTTACTTAAATAACATTTTCCAAAGCATATAAGTGACTGAATAATTATGAGGACATAGTAACGATAAAAAATGGCTACTATTATGCCCTAAAGTTGCGCGCATTTACCTTGTCTCCAGATATCATCAATTAGTCTTGCCAAACATCAGCATTGATGAACTTCAAATTCACCAAGTAGCTTACTGGTACAGTTACCCTATTAAAACCTTATGCAAAATCATGTGAACAATGATAACATTGTGATATTTAGCCCAGAAAACAAAAACTGGGAAAAAACGAGGTGTCTGTAAATTGGGCTAACAAGAAGGTGAAGGGTTGCCTAACATGGGAGACTGGAACAAGTTCAAGGAAATTCCCGAAATTATTGTTGAGAAAAAGTTTTGGTGTAGACAAAATTATTGTAAACAACAATAATCTCTAATTTGGGGGGATTTCGTTGAACTTGTTCAGGTCCCCACGTTACCCTTCCCGTAGTAGCCCAATTTACGGACACCACATTTTCTTCCCTGTTTTGGTCTTTTGGGCTAAACATCAAGATGTTATCAATTTTCACATGATTTCCCACTTATTTTTGTTAGGGTAACTATGCCAGTAAGTAACTTTGTGAATTTGAAGCTCATCAGTACCCACGTTTGGCGAGACTAGTTGATGATATCTGAGGAAAAGGTAAATGCGCGCAACTTTGGGGTAAAATAGTAGCAATTTTGGTTCTTTACTATGTCCTCCTAATTATTCAGTCACTTATATGCTTTAGAAAATGTTATTGAAGTAAGAATATGCAAGTAGAATCACCAAAATACACTATTCAAAAAAATAAGAAATAAAAAATACCCAAATATGGGAATAAATATATTAACGGCAGGGATTAACGATTTATGCAAATTAGGCACCCAAAAGAATTTCAGGTGTCACCCCTTCTAAATATCTTCTCTAGGGCTATAAGAATCTATCTGCCAAATGGGGCTTTTGACCAGTCGGCAATAGCCTACAAAACCCTCATCACCGAAGCTTGAGTACGGCGCGTCAATATGGGATCCTCATCAGGACAACAACAAGGCATCTCTTGAGAAAATCCAACGCCGAGCTGCTCGCTTTGTCCAAAATGACTATAGTAGGAAATCAAGTGTCATTAACATGCTGGCAAACCTACGATGGGAACCTCTCGAAAGTCGTCGTACCAAACTTCGCCTAATCTCCATCTTTATAAAGGAAGTTCATAATATTACTCCGTCAAACGTCAACTGTTGTCACAACATTATAAAATCCACCAGACTGCAAACCGGGCCTCACATCTTAGAAACCCCACCATTCAACATGAACTGTTAACAGTATTCATTCTACCCCCCAGACTAGTGAATAAAACATCCTCCCAACATACATTAGAGCTCAACCTGACATCAAATCATTCAAAGAGAGACTGGGTAAAATAAATATGGATGAGCTGGTCAAAAAAGTTCATTACAAAATGTAATCACCTACGCCACACTGACCTATGCGTTATAACCACCATCTAGTGGTGCTTGCATAGTATCCAGCAGAAGCAGAAGCAGAGGCTCCAACTGCCTGTGTGTTCACATCCACGAAACACTTGTCCACAGTGACAAATCAAACAGGCTACCGTTAATGTCGTCCTAAACCCATCAATGAATTATGTTATCATTTAAACGTACGGTATACAGACCTAAAATATATACAGTAGAGTTATTATAAGCATCTGTGGTATATCCGTATTAGTGTTGTGTTGTTAGCATAATGGGCCTATTGTTCTGACCGCCGTTTTAAACCTATATACCATTCATCCAAACGACAAACAAATTCATATATAATCCCAACTCAATACATCCGGTAATCCTCTTATCTATTGAATACCATTTACAATGGATCCTTATTTCCTCCTCAAACAGTCCCCACAATTCCCCATAGAACGTGTGCAAAAAAGGGCGGGGCACTACCTATACCGCCCACAGCACTACTACCGGACCTCACCCAAATAAAAACAAACCCAAGTCGTGTTTTATCACTTCAGTCAGCACGTGTAAATCAGTTTAGCATGCGCATGTAAAGGTCAGCATCTAACTTGGTTACAGGAAAATGATTCCCATAGTTTGTGGACAGTGCTTGATGAATGTCCCGATTTTTCTACCTTTAAGACTCCCTCCTGAGTTCGTTCAGATATAGGCGAACATGGGCCCATTATGATATATCACATAAAAACACGTTACCCTTTTTTATGTTGTAATAGGTCTCCTTGCTACACCACTTGAGGTCATGCTTGGTACTCGCACGGTGGTGACGGTCAGCGGTTTCATGCTTGGTGTCTCTATGATCATCGCTTCTTTTTCCACTAGTATTGTCATGTTGACATCAATACTAGCACTGGCAGCTGGTAAATATGTTATAACATGTACTTTTATGAGGTCACACCGTGCAATGCATGTTAAAGGGGAATTACGGCCTGGAATCCCCAATAATTGTATGTTTTGGATTGTTTACCTATCATATTCTTGATCCTAAGCTTTTGTTGAAAGAAAACTTAATGTCTTACCGTTCCCAAGAAAAGACCCCAAACCCCGGCTGTGTATATCAGCGCGGCGGACATTTTGTGGCATGAGCATGTATTGCAAGCCGTCTCTATTCAATGTACAGTTGAGCACTGTTAATTCGAGTTCGGGTTGGGTTGGGATTAATAAGACCGGGAGCTAGGTTAAGGTGGAGTTTAAATAAAAGTTTGAACACAAAAGGTTTGACGGTACCAGGCCATTGTCCGTATAAGGGGGTAGTTCTGAATTAGCCATTCTTAAGTTGCCCTAGGCCGGATGGGGTCAGGGGACTAAGGTCAAAATGGCCAAAATTTCGAGTCTAATTAACTTGTCGCGCAAAAGCGCCGTTTTGGATTAAAGTGTTGAGATTGACCATATTATGATACCAAAACTGCTACTAGTTAAGAACAGAAAAAGGTCAGATAACGTTACTAAAGAATGATTTGAAGATTGTATTGATATATATTTCATATCCTGGTAGAAAGTGGAGCTGCTTAGTTTTACCCAAACCGTGCTGGAATTTGTGATAAGAGCATGGAATTCGGCTTGCAGAGCCAAAACGGTCTGAGAACGCTTTGGGCACGGTTTGGACAAAAAAAGGGCCTACAGCTCCACTATTGACTAGGATATGTATAAGCATGGGGATCCTTCATATTAATACGTTTGTCGAAGTTGATCACTCATTGATTTTCTCGTCTAATATCCGCAGGACCTGCTTTAAGTATCGTCCCTATACTGACAAGGGCGCTAATTGGGCGCCGTTTTCCGACAAACTATGGCATTGCAGCAGGAATTGGGGGTTCGGGAGCTCCAATAGGCCTGATCACTGCTGGCCCATTTACCCAACTTTTGCTGGATACGTATGGCTGGAGAGGTGCTTTGCTTATACTTGGAGGGTTCGCCCTGCATCTTGGGGTGTGTGGCGCCATCCTGCGTTCATCGTCGACTGATGAAACCGAGACGAATATCAGCTATCAGCCGGTGAGCACCGACGCCAATGAGGAACCTCGAGCTGGTTCATCAAGTGCTGAGGAGAAAGGCAACTTGAAGCAGTCATCACGATCATATAATACCTTCAAAGACGCCCTCAAGGCCATGGTGAAACACGTTGGAATCTCGGTTTGTTTCCAGGTCTCATTTTGGTTCACAGCAGTCATCTTCATATTGGGCCGCTTTGTGGCTGATCATTGGATGATCTATTACGTTTCTCAAGCAGAAGCCAAAGGATTCTCCCCATACGAGGCTGTGACATTCACCACAGCCGGAGGGGTCGGCAACGTCGTTTCCAGGATTGTGTTTGGTTTTATCGTCGACAGAAATTTGTTGAATTTACGACCGGCGTTGGTGCTGATGATCGTACTGAGTTCCTCGGCTCTACTGATAGCTCCCTGGTTAAATACCTACTGGCTGATGATGGCCGGCTCCTTCGTCTTTTGTGCTGGGATTGGAGCAATTGCCTTATTGAATGATCTGTACACCAGGGAGCTGCTTGGAACTGATCTCTTGGTATGTGCTTTCGCTTGGATGGAAATGTTGACGGCCACTTTAGGTTTTAGCCTTGGATTCTTTCCAGGTAAGGCATTTCGTGTCTCATCTTATTGCTTTTGAGAGAAGGGAATATTGTATGCAGGGATAGTGTCATTATTCTCAATGCAATTCTGATGTCTTAGGTCTGTCGACCAATACATGCCATGTAAATACTGTATACCATCCCCATCGACCAGTACATGCCATGTAAACATTTTATACCATACTCATCGACCAATACATGCCATGTAAACACTGTATATTATCCCCAAACCAATGATAGTGGGCGCTATCATCACGAATACAAGTTGTTCCATTCACATTGTCGATGGTCACCTCTTTTAAGGGTTCTCACATTCATACACCAACGGTAGTTGCTTCGTGTCCATGGTAAAAAGTTTATACGTGAAACATTCTATATTCCCTACCATTCCCCCGCCTCTCTAAAAAATACCTGTTGCGTGATCTTTAAGGAGACATTTTTTTGTTGATTCAAATTAGGTATGTTGACATACAAAGCAAACGAAATGTCAACTGTCTGGAACTGTTTCACTTCTCTTTTTTTCAGGTTGGATGTACGACCAGACTGGGAGTTTTGATTGGGCCTTTTTTATCCTGGGATGCATATCAGCTCTCTCGCTGTTGGCGCTGTTGATTGAATGGGTCTTGGCGAGATGCAAGTCCCAGCAGACGGCAGGACTTACGCCTAATTAAATATTAGAATGCTGACGGGTGACATTAAAAATTTTATAGAAAGGATCGTGCACCATTTCATCTGCTTATTATAGACGATAATCGTAGCTATAAAAACAATAACTATCTTTTAAAGGGAAGATACAGCATTTGCAAACATCAAAAAACAAAATGATCCAAATATCACGAAATACCGTACTGGATTGTTAGGGATTGACAGTCTAAAGCATCCTGTAAAATCGTAGCTCCTGGTGTGCTGACATTTTCAAGAAAAATTGTATTTTTCCCAACGCTGGTCGGCCGACCAGCGCTGGAGAAAACTGGCTGTTTTCAAAAACTACTCCATATTTCTTATATTTAGTTATTCCACATTTTCTTTGCAAAATTACTCACCTGTGAACGGGTACAAGCCAACTAAATTGATACTCTGACCGTACAATACCCCAAAGTCTATAAATTGCTCCATTTCAACTTAAGTGGGGTCAGGGAACCAGACTACAAGAATATAATTGGTTTTCTTGGGTTTTTCCAGCATCTACAAGCCAAAAACGTGAAACAAGTCAGTTTAACAATAATTGCTAAAACATATAAATCCTCCAAACGGCACTTATTTCTGAAAATTGCAGCAAAAGCCAATGTTGTTCATTCCCTTTAACAAGGGCACATAGTTTAATGTCCGCATACAGTACGGTACACCGTCGCTATAACGAACAAGATGGGGGTCCACAAAAGAGTGATAGTTACACTGGTCGTTTATTAAAGCACTTTTAGACCGGGGCGCGATTTTTTTCCGTAGGCGGCATGATCCAAAGTCATGCATAATTCAGTTTTCCTCTGAATCGTTGCAAGACACTTAGGTTCTTGTTCTCTTTTTCCCCCAAAAATAAAATAATCTGAACGCTACATTCAGAGAAGAAAAACAGTCGATGAAAATGAGCAGAGACAACGTGGACTCCAACAAGGGATCTTTCACGCTATCAACTAGGCTACTGTGTGGTAGCTCGAAGACGTCCGTACTTTAAAATGCCTTAAAGGTAACTGGTTGACTAAATAACAACAATGCTCTTGATATCATTGTTCTGTAAACATAAACATAGTGGCCCGATATTCATGACTTTGGAGCATCCCTCCTACGGAAAAGAAATTCGCGAATGGGGCGACCAAAACACAAGATGGCGACGCCCGTGTTGCCAAGTGCGCCCTCTTTGGGAAGAAAGCTAGTTGATGTGCGCCCTCTTTAGCTAACTTTAGTGACGGAATGTGCTCGTTGGTATAGGTTTTCCCGGCCACTTTCACCTAGTTTTCATTCAATTTAACGCCTGGCTCAGTCGATTTAGATTGAAATTGAAAGATCACGCAGATGGGCATTCGACAATAAAAAGGAATCATTCAATTTCACTATCCGAGCATTCTATCGCCTTTAAGCTTCACTCGTCCCTATCAAAGATGCATTCATATTAAAAGTAGGCCCCCCCCCCCTATCGCGTTGTTCATTCAATTTCGTCTAAACCAGTAGTAAGGGGTTGATCGGGCATTCGTTTTCATTAATGGGCAAACATATTACACATTTTGTCAAACATCTTTTAAGACTTCATATACGTGTCCGTATTCCTTAGCGTATTAAAATCATATTTGATGTCTTCAATCCGTAGATACCTTTCTTTCTTAATTAAAGGGTATGTGCAATGAATTTTTCTCAGGATTTTTTTGTGCAACTCTTTACTACTGTGAAATGTAAGGAAACTACACATTTGACAACATTTTGTTGTTAAATCTTTTGCAAAAGTGCACTTTTTTAAACATTTAAAAGTGTCCATGCTTTGTAAGATTTGAGGCTTTGCATGGTGAAGATACTAAATAATGAAAGGTTTGCGGAAACACCATGTGCGAATAATTTCTCAACTAAGAGAATGGTTCTGAAAAGAACCAGAGGTATATGCTTTTCCGGACTACGTATGAGCGCGTTGTTATTGTGATGTCATTTCAGGAAGACGCTATTCAGTTTAGGGGTTTTTCTTTCATTTTATTCATCCAAAATTGCTAATTGAAAACATTTGTGGGAAAGGGTTGCTCATTGGCTTACTGCCATGTACTGACACATCATAGAATCACCAAAAATTAAAAAAAATTCTGTCAGCAAAATATCCAAAATTCTAGCAACTTTTTGTGCTGAAATAGCCATGTAACATTAATCATGCCCAGAATGCCATCATATGTTTTCTAATGAATATGAAACTTTGCATTAATAGCATAAAAACAGAAAAGGCACCAAAACACCTTTCAAAATGGAAAATTAAACTTGCAAATAAGGTTAAATGTGACACAAAGATGTATTTTTAATGTTTGCATTGAAAACTTACTTTGCATGGGCCCTTTGAATACGGTAAGCTAAGTTTAGTCAGACATACGCAAGAAAACATTTAAGAAATAACGCAAGAGAGGTGTTCCTGATGATACAACCATTGCCAAACATACGTGTCCCGATGTCTTGCACGTCAAGAAATCGTCAACGTAAAGATGCCCCTTGCTCAAACGTTTAAACAAGTAGAAAAGATCAACAGTGAAAAAGAAATTATCTTAGTTTCTTTCAGTTGATTATTTCGTTACATCTTGTTTCCCTCATATCAGTTAATTAATTTGTAACATTGTAAAAAAAAAATTTTGAGGTGGGGGGGGGGGGGAATGAACCTCGGATGAAAATAGGAAAATAGGAAAATATATATCGATTAAAAAAGTTACTAATTTAAATGACCAAACGATGAAAGTGATTGCCCATAAACGAATAAGAAACGAAAAGCATGGTTGTACGTTTTAAGCGCACAGATGTTCGCTAATTTGAATGCATCAACCGTCAAAAAATTGCAAAGACTTAATTTAAGACTGCTACAAGTTAAGTCGTGAATGCACCAAAACGAAATAGGCAGCCCGAAAATGAAAAAGAACATTCAGAGCAAAATCTTGGCTGCCTAAAAATGAAATTGAATGAACCCAAAATGAAAAAGAAACCCCAATTTGACCACATGTGCAAAACTCACGCGAAATTGAATGGCTGATAATGAAAATGATTAGAAAAATTAGGAAATTCGCCGGGAAAACCTATATTATGTAAAAGCGGTTCATGTAGTGCTCTCAAAATATTCTGATAGAATTTGCCGGTTTCGCTTGTTTCAGGGGTGTTCTTCATCCGGTGATAAAGATAAAAGCAGATGTTGTTACGTTAAATTTCGAATTGAAAGATTAACTTTCAAATTACTTTTTGTTGGGTGAAAATGTTATTTCCTTTATTATCATTTGTAAATAGCATCATTTTATTTAAATCCCAGCATTAACCCGTGCTACGTTCGGGAAAATGAAACAGCACAATACGATATTAACTAGTCAATTTGTCTATACATAAACTGATTATGTGAAGACATTGACAGTTGTGTGATTCATATTATTTTGGCGTCAGTGACCATCTTCTAGACAACAGGAAACTTCCCCTGTTAACCTTGCAGGTGTTTCCTTTTATCCTTTTGGGCAGCCAGATGGCCGATGGCTGACATTTTCCAAGATGGCCACCAAAGGTAGTATTATCTTACTATATACAATTCCGGGAATCTCTCTGTGTGCGTTAGTGTCTGTCTGTCCGTCGATTACATCCAGAACCGGGCACTGCGTATGAAGTTGAAAATCGGCAGGGGTAGTGCTCGGGACCCCAGATTAATGTGCAGTGTCAAATTTGAAGTTGTTTGGATGAGCGGTTCTCAAAAAAGCTGGCAAAAAAGGAAAAAAAGCAGCAGCAATACCGGAGGACTAGACCATATACAAACGTGTATACAGACCGCGCCACGCACTGCTGCACACTTTGTATGGGCACTATACTACGCCATGGGTACGGGTACGGGTACGGATAGTGGTTGTGGCTGTATGGGCTCCACCATTTCCTACAATCATGCACATTATTCGTTCCGAATCCACACTTTGTGACCAGTGTAAGAGATTCGTAGATCCGAATCCACACTTTTAACAATAGTGTGACGTCATAGCAATGGTTTAAATAGGAAGCGCTGATCAAATCCTACAATCATGCACGCTATATTACTTTAACGTCGGTTTAAATGAAAATACTTGTTTGGGTACCGACATACAACTACCCTTGAATGCCACAACAGCTGCCTGATGCCACGTCAACTATAATCAAAATACAGTAAAAAGGTAAACAATAAGTGTATAAGGCCCCCCCAAAAAAGTCTCCGGTTTCTGGTATGGAGCTTGCCCAAAAAGTGGTGCGGCGACGCGGCTTTTTTTTTTTTTTTACCTGTTTTTTTTTGCTTCAAAATGTCGGCTGATGACTGCAAATGGTGCCCGACTAAACCTAGTGCAAATATATGGGAGTCCGGAGAGGCCACATAAAGCTTATTCTCGATCATAACCCAATCTAAAAACACGTTAAAATTGAGCAGCAGCAGGATTCCAGTCAAACCAGTGAGTTTGGCGGTTTTGAGACATCATCTTTTATTGAAAAAAAACTTTTTCATTTTGCCGACGCGCATGGCTACGGCGACGGACGCGCATACCAGAAACCGGAGACTTTTTTTTTGGCCTAATGAACAGCCATTGAAATTAGTATAACATAGAGCAAGGAACAAGCTCCCAACAGTAAGTAAGTATGGAACTCCACCCCAAGAGGGCGCTGTTGCCTAAAACGGCAATCTATCCAAAATCACTTCAAATTTACCACAGATGTTCGGCCTATATGAGTTGGAATAATTAGATGAAGTTGAGATAAAGAATGTGCAAGGGAGTGAGGCCCCGATGAGGGCAGAAATTATGCCAGAGTCAAACAAAGTGTCACGATACAAGAATACAATAAAATGCACTACTTTTGTAACTGACAATAAACCCATCCCACGACCAAACATAGCTTATTTTACCGCCCAAATTTCCCTTCTAAATCTACAATACTACCAAACGTTATTATTATCAATAACATTTTCAACGGTTTTTAGCGGGGGGCGGCTTGAGGGGGAAAGGGAGAGGGTTTGACACAAAAACCACCGCTCTGGATCCGCGCTTGGCCGGCTATAGCGAATTTTTTTTTTTTTTTTTTTTTTTTTTTGGGGGGGTAAATCGTTCGCATGTGACGTCACCTGCTAACACTCGCTATTGCTATTTCATTTTTTTTTGGGGGGGGGGGTTAACAATTTTTGTTGGAGGGGGGTGGTAACCAAATGTTGATGTAATTTTTTTTTTTGGGGGGGGGGCTAAATCCTGAACCCCCCAGCCCCCCCCCCCCTTACCCCGGAACCGCGCCTGGCCTTAATGACCGATGGCATATTAATAGCCAACACCTGGCGCCCTACATGAAATCCGTAAGATCTCGCGATAATGTCATTGTTTGTTTTTCGCGACATCTGGAACGAAAATATTCATAAAACTTTAAGCATAACCACTCCTTGTGAAAGATAAACTTTTGACAAAGTTGTTTAAAACAAAATTCATATAGGCCTATGAAGTATTTCCCCGGAAAAAATTCAAATGAGACCTGGTCAAAAAAGTGTGGGGGGGGGGGGGGGGGGGACCTACCCCCACGTCTTGAACGTTGTGTTTCTCAGAAAATATGTACAATATGATTGAAAAGTTAAATTATAACGGAAGAAGAAATTCTTAGCTTCATGTCAGTGAAAAAAAATCGCCGTCATCGATGCCGAAACGTCAATACTGGTTACTGGTGTAGCTGACCTTCAAGTCTGGAAGAAATCTTTCGAAAACGTCCCCAAATCTCTGTGTTTATATCTATTTCTAGGAATTTCTAAAAATTGTTATTTCACGAGTAGTTGAACACTTATATCATATAAGTATATTCCGAATTATAGGTTAATATGTTGGTGCGAACGCTAGCGCTACAATTTGAACCATCTCCATGGACAATTTTGACGATGATTTCTGCCGACCCAAGTCACATGCATTGTTCAGCAAAGCGCCGATTTCGGCCAAGCCACGCAATATCATATTGTAGATTAGCATATTCATTAGCGTCACTCGGCGTGTTTTGGTGTGGGTCTCGGTATCGACCAATGGAAGCCGGCAAAAAGGGTGATATTTATCAATAATTACTCGTGAGGGAGGCTTTTCTCAAAATCTTTACTGCACACCATTATGGATACTAATATTCGTGAGGCTTGAAAAGATTGACAGCTATTGCAAACGTCAGCGTTACAACTTTCAATGATGCACGTAGCGTAGTTAGCACATACTTGGATCATCAGGAGGAAAGTAAAGCCTGAAAGTTGCATGAAGATACGGTCTTCCAAACGGGAGAAATTAATTTCAAAAAGTTCGCCCGCCAACGTGAACATAATTATGTGTGCACATGTAGTTTCATTCAAAATGAAGTGTTACGTTACCTTTAGAAATCGCCCTTCGCAACCACATGACTGTTAAGCTTTGGAGGGGAAAAAAGGGCCTCCTCCAAAACACGATTTTTTTTATTTGGCCTAATGAAAAAAAAGTGGAAATTATTACCTGGACAACATGAAAAGGAAATTATTAAAGCTATAGTCCATCATTTGCAGCCATCCGAAAAAGTAACTGGCGTATTATTGTTGAAAAACATACTAGGTTGAAAGATAGTAAGTGAACTAAACTCCATGTGAAATTATTCTTTCTGGCAAGCTGTCATTTTGAAGTAATCAACGGAAGAAGGCCTTTCCAACGGTACGTCTTAAGACGCACCGTAGGAAAATTTAAATTAGTAGTTCGTTTTGTTATTAGGCGCAGCGCGCGCAAGCATTGGCACGACGCACAGACGCGCGCGGTTGCTATAATTCGTCGGATTAGTGCGCGACATCGCGTATAGCTGCAATTCAAAACAATTCAAAACATGATTCAGCAACTTTTGATTTGAAATTGAGATCCTAGAATGCTGTTTTGCTCGGAATGTACAGCTGAAGCTGAGCTGAAACTTCATCAGGTTAGTTGTTCAGTATCCTTCATTAGATTTTGAACACTTTTGTTGCTTCAAACTAACAAAATGCACAAATTACAAATGATGGACTTTATCTTTGATATAGCTCTATGGTCTTTCCTGGTCTCCAGTCAGAGTTTGACCTATCGCGGTAGAATCGCGTTATAAAATAGACGTGGAACGCGCAAAATCTGAGACAAATAAAACTTAGTGCAAATTCCACGGGTTGTCTAAGTGGCGTGGCCAACTCGCAAACGGCGATAGGACAATACCATAGACATGGTTTTATTATATGTCTATGGTCAATAATCGTCACCCGCAGCGTTTGTAAATGGCAGACGTAATTTTAATGAAATGAAGTGTAAGTTAGCTACGCGCGTAAAGGAATAAACCAAAATTTGAGGGGGGGGGGAGAATATTTCATACCAATGACAATAATATGAATCATACAACGGTCAAATTCTTTGCATAATCAGTATTTGTTTATGAATTGACTAGCTTGCTATTATGTTGTGCTGTTTAATTTTCCCAAACGTAGCGCTAATGCGGTGGAACGTCGCTATACTGAACACCGATATACCGAACATTCGGCTATACCGAACATCGTCCTTGGCTCCCGATTTTGTGTACAAAAGGTACCGAACTTTGTTGTTGAAAATTATCAAGTGGCTATTTTTTCCCAAGGAATAGAAAGAAAAAGTCACCATTGTTGTAGGTAGTAGGCTCAAAAACTGTGTAATTACATAATTCAATAGTTGGCACGTGTTCAAATCGTCTTTCAGTAGCCAAGGCGTGCAGGGTGAGATTCTGAAGGGCGCCATTTGTTGAAAGTGAGTACCGGAGCACCAGCAGCTTAAAATCGCTATACCGAACGATTGCTATTACGAACAATTTCTGTAGATTCCTGTTCGTTATATCGGCGTTTCACTAACCAGTATTGACATAAAATTTACTAGGCCTTTAGATTTTCCTGGCCAATTTCGCAAAAACAGCGTTCAAATTCATCTTGATAGTGGCCGATTTGAAACGAATTACCTCCTTGCTGTCATTCGATCGCTTGGTTCGTATAAGTTTCCAGACGTTCAAATTCGTTTGTCAGACCTGACATTTTAATTGTTAACACATCCTTCAATTTAGCAGTCTGTTTGGTTTAGGGTTATTTGCATAAGAAACCTATTTTCGTTTTCATCTCCGCGCGTCCCATTTATTACTTTCTGCATTAAAAATAATGGGAAACGAAGGCAAGATGCGAGATATATATTTGTATCACTTTTCACATGTTCTTTTATTATTGGTTTCATGCTAGTCTCTTTTGTTCAAAGTATAATTATGTTAGGCCTATCTGTCTTTATAATCTGAACAAGTAAAAGTGTAAACTAGTGAAGCGAAATAATTAAACATCGTACACGAAAGTCGACACATAAACAATAAACTTAGGTAACATTGAACTAGGAGATCCTTACCTCTTTTTATCGCGTTCACATACTTTTTTAAACGTTCTTGTAACCTTTTGCTCTTTAATTAAGTTGCGATCTGGGTTTTCTTATATCTCTAACCTTTTCCTCAATTAGCTTTATTTTAAACATGCTTCATTTCAGTACACGTGCTTTATTTTTATGCAAAAATATAGTCATTTGTAGCCGAATCTCCGGGAAACAGTTAGTTTTATGCATTTTTAAATTGGAACAAAGAAACAAAGAACAAACTGACGATCAAAGTAATTATATGAACCGGCTTCGAATACTTTTGCTCATATTTCGCAAATGCTTGCTTAATTGCGAATTCGAATTCCCAAACTGACGCAACGTGAAGCTCATGCGAATATGAATGAACCGATATGACATTTTATTAATGCATTATCATTGAAATTGAATCGTTGAAAAGTGCAATCGCATATGCCTTTACATTTAAACTTTAGTTAATTGAATGTTGATCTAAACGTGCATCCAAATTCGTGCGAAAATGGGTGATTTGTCACCAATTTGGCTTATTTAACTATTTATAAAATAATGATATCATCCACAATCAACAAATTGCAATGAAACGGTACACGATCCTTTCTATAACTTTTTTCTTTTGATGTCACGCGTCAGCATTCTCGTAGTTTAATTAGGCGTAATTCAAGCCGTCTGCTGATACTTGCATCTCGACAGGACCCATTCCATCAACAGCCCCACCAACGAAAGAGCTGATATGCATCCCAGAATAAAAAGGCCCAATCAAAACTCCCACTCCGGTCGTACATCCAACCTGAAAAACACACACACACAAGAAAAGCAGTTCCAAACAGTTGACATTTTGTTTGCTTCGTCGATGTCAACATACCTAATTTTAATCAACAAAAATGTCTCCTTATATTACGCAACAGGTATTTTTTTTAGAGAGACAGGGGAATGGTAGGGAATATAAAATGTTGAACGTATAAACTCTTTAACATGGACACGAATAAGCAACTACCATTGGTGTATGGCTGCGAGAACCCTTTAAAAGAGGTGACCATCGACAAATGCCACGTGTATGGAACAAATTGTATTCGTGATGATAGCGCCCACTATCATTGGTTTGGGGATAATATACAGTGTTTACATGGCATGTACTGGTCGATGGGTATGGTATAAAATGTTTACATAGTATGTGTTGGTCGATAGGGATGTGTACAATGTTTACATGGCGTGTATTGGTCGACAGACCTAAGACATCAGAATTGCATTGAGAATAATAACACTATCCCTGCATGCAATATTCCCTTCTCGCAAAAAGCACTGAGATGAGACGCGAAATGCCTTACCTGGAAAGAATCCAAGGCTGAAACCTAAAATGGCCGTCAACATTTCCATCCAAGCGAAAGCACATACCAAGAGATCAGTTCCAAGCAGCTCCCTGGTGTACAGATCATTCAATAAGGCAATTGCTCCATTCCCAGCACAAAAGACGAAGGAGCCGGCCATCATCAGCCAGTAGGTATTTAACCAGGGAGCTATCAGTAGAGCCGAGGAACTCAGTACGATCATCAGCACCAACGCCGGTCGTAAATTCAACAAATTTCTGTCGACGATAAAACCAAACACAATCCTGGAAACGACGCTGCCGACCCCTCCGGCTGTGGTGAATGTCACAGCCTCGTATGGAGAGAATCCTTTTGCTTCTGCTTGAGAAACGTAATAGATCAACCAATGATCATCCACAAAGCGGCCCAATATGAAGATGACTGCTGTGAACCAAAATGAGACCTGGAAACAAACTGAGATTCCAATGTGTTTCACCATGGCCTTGAGGGGGTCTTTGAAAATATTATATGATCGTGATGACTGCTTCAGGTTGCCTTTCTCCTCGGCACTTGATGAACCAATTCGAGGTTCCTCATTGGCGTCGGTGCTCACCGGCTGATAGCTGCTATTTGTCACGGTTTCATCAGTCGACGATGAACGCAAGATGGCGCCACACACCCCAAGATGCAGGGCGAACCCTCCAAGAATAAGCAAAGCCCCTCTCCAGCCATACGTATCCAGCAGCAGTTGGGTAAATGGGCCAGCAGTGATCAGGCCTATTGGAGCTCCCGAACCCCCAATTCCTGCTGCAATACCATAGTTTGTCGGAAAACGGCGCCCAATTAGCGCCCTCAAGTTGTCAGTATAGGGACAACACTTAAAGCAGGTCCTGCGGATGTTAGACGAGAAAATCAATGAGTGATCAAATTCGACAAACGTATTAAAATGAAGGATCCCTATGCTATATGGGATTTGGCAGCATTGTGTTTTTGTGAAGGCCTAATATTTATTCGAAATTGTTAACGTTGCTTCCATTAACTTGTTTAATGTAAAAGGCCAATGCAATATTCCAGTTTATATAACTGACATACAGATCCTAGTCATTTGATTGGTGGAACTCACATCACGTGACATTCGTTATTGCTCCCATTCACGCCGCGGCTCAAAAAGTACTATCCGCCCATGGGGAATGGGAAATATTATAACACCTCACCCACAGATTCTGTGTCTTGATTGGCCGAGAGCGAGTCACATGTTACTTTCTAATTTTGCTATCTCTCTGTGCACGGCCAAAAGTACTATGCGCATAGCAACCAAAGTACTATACCATTAGCAACCAAAGTACTATTTCCACGGCGCAGTATTTGTGTGCAAATGCATGCTGGTGTGCGCGTTGCGCGTTGTGCGTAGCGCGTATTATTCCAAAGAGAGTGCGCCGCAGACTTGGGTTCAAACATTTCGTGAAGGGTTAGTTTTTAAGAGAGAAATACATTTTCCACCAATTTTGTATTGAAATTGAAGTTTATTTCAACTGTGTTCAGATTTAAATAATGTAAAATATTAAAATCAAGCAGAATCCGTTGGTGAAGTGTTTGTTATAAAACAAATATTGAATGCTTTATCTCGTGGTGAAGTAAACCCAGCCTCCCTCGGTGATCCATGGACCATTCTATTTTCCCTCGGCTTCGCCTCGGGAAAATAGAATGTCCATGGATCACCTCGGGAGGCTAGTTTTACTACACCACTCGAAGCATTCAATATTTGTATACTATTCAACAGTTAGGATCATGACGCGGTATTTGTGTGCAAATGCATGCTGGTGAGCGCGTTCAGCGTTGCGCGTAGTGCGTACTGTTCCAAAGAGCAACCGCTACAGCGTTGGTTTCAAACATTTTCGTGAAGGGGTGGTTTGAAAGAGAGTAATACATTTTCTTCCAGTTTTGTATCGAAAAAAAAAGTTCAAATATATCAAATGACAAGGATCTATGTGTCAGTTATATAAAACAAATATTGAGTGGCTTTAAATTGTGAAATGGGAGGAATATTATCGCTCGGTAAAATCTAGACTTTTCCAGTTCACTCGGCTTCGCCTTGTGAAACGGAACAGTCCAGATATTACCTTGCGATAATATTCCTCCCATTCCACATTTGAATGTTGTGTTCTTTATAAATTTCATCCAAGAGCAGCTGATCTTAGCATTATCATCCAAATATATCATGTGTTTGAAATCTACAAATTAAGAGTACGTTTTTAAAACTTTTGCAGACTGTTATCCAGCCTTTCATTACCTACTGAAAATAATAAACGAGTCTTCAAAAACTGGTCACTTTGATTGGTCAAGCGACGTTACTGCATAATTATGCATAGGGATGGTGATGCATTTGCATCGATGAATACGTGCGCGTACACGCGATGGGGGGTGCTGATGGTAGATTGATTAAGTCGGAATTGCTAACTTTAGTGTGTGCGCATTGTTATACGGCACTGAAGTGGAATGTGTGGTAAATTGTACCTTGTCGTGCTTCTGGAAAGATGTTTATAGCTAAGTGATTTTTGTGATTCTTTTTTTTGTAAGATACCGACATAAAGCAATTCTCTTCCTCCTTTTTTTTCAAAAACCCGGACGAAAAACATGTTTTGTTTTTATTCGGCCCCTAAAAACATGAAATCGTTTCCGGCATTTAAGTTAAAAAAAAAAAAAAAACCGACGTATAAACACTGTATACTCAGTGTGTAACCTCCCGAGTGAAATTTGGAAAAAAAATATCACTCGGGTGGGACTCGAACCCACGACATCCTGCTGTCTAGTGCAGATGTCTTACCACTCGACCACTGAGCTAACGAGATCGGGTGGCTGGTTCGAATCTGATGTACACAGCAGCGGGTACCGCATTAACTATTCATAAGATGGAATTTTGCGTCGGGGTGATGTAAATCAAATTAGTTTTTGCCCTTCACCAGTGGCGTAGCCACGGGGGGGGGGGGGGGGGGGACAGCCCCCCCATGAAACCTTGTCGCCCCTCCCAGTCGCCCCCCCCCCCCCACTGAGAATTTGAGATTCTCAAAAAATTATCATTGATCTACATGACGCCCCCCCCCATGAAATGTTCCAGCACAAAGTGCTTCCCCGTCACTGTAGCGGTCCGCTCCCGCTTCAGTCCGGCCGTCTCTGCGAAGCGATAGCTCGTACCGTGCCCACTCGGTTCAGCTAGAATCTTTGGCTTACTTGGTTCCCCCAGTTAGTGTTGTGAGACTCCGACAACCGGTGTTGAAACCAAGGAAAAGTCTGACGTTGGAGGAATCCGCACAAAGTTAAATAAACGACAATTGTTTTTTTTACTTTTACATATCCGTGGCAGCCTGTCCAACTTTTAGCTTTTATTTTATGTTTTAAGATTTAAAATAAAAATAATTGAATCAAATAAATCAAATAAAGTTTCTTCAAGTCTTTATTACGCTGGAGATTTCCCAATCGCAGTACATATGAGAGGCAGCCCAAATAGGCGCGACCTAATCCGGCCAAATTACGATTTGTATACTAGTTTATCTGTAATAATAAAGAATTTTGGCCCCTCCACTTGAGGGTCTGTATTTGTAGAAGTGAAGGGTCCAGGTCCCTGAATTTGGATTTCTGAACAAAACATTTGAATGGAATCTATATTGATATGGAGTGGAAGGAATCTGTTTGTTTTTTTTGTTTTTCAAAATGGCGATGGGGTGATCATCGTTGGAGGGAAAAATCACCAAAAAGTCATAGGTCGACCCCCCCCCCCCCAAAAAAAGATTTCCAAAAGGTAAAGAGGATTAATTCAGCTTTCATTTGATGTATGTTTTGATCACCCGTGAGGGTTCAGAGTATGTTCCCCGGTTTGTTTAAATTGGGGTATTTATCTTTGGTGCCTATGGGAATTTATGTATTGGTGTGCATCCTTAAACGGAGTGCTGTAAATTCAGGGATCGCATCAACAACTGCTTTTGAATCACACAGTCATGTTTGTGTACCATACTTTCCCACACATAAACTGTTCATCTGGAAGGCTCATGTCACAGGAATGTCCCATTAAATTGTTTAGAAATTATGTTGAAAATAACATCTTCATGGATTCCCAGCACAACTCCTCACAATAAGCCCAGTGTTAACAATATTTCTCGTTGTGGGTCTGAAAATGAAAATTGTCGGTTTGTGTATTATGAATATGATCAAGTGAAATTATTTATGCAGTATTTTGCCCATTTCCCTCAAAATTGCATATTGTAATATTGTACATTTTTATCAATTTGCTAGAATATGTGATACCTCACCAACAAGTATCTTTTAACGAAATTCAATCAGAATATTTATCAATTTGTAAAATATTTTTTAGTTGTTTTGTTACTTGTTGGTGTCCCTGCCACACTGTACGATGGTGTAGCCGTGCGTTATGCACGTGGATTGTTTACTTTCGTTTTGACGGGGACTTTACTGAATAGAGTCTGGTGACTGTACATAGAAATTTCTTTGAATAAAAGTCGAATCGTTCATTCATGTGCACTTGTTATGCAAAGCAGGGGCAGTGGTTCAAGGATATCTATGTCGACTTGCAGAAAGTGTGCAAGAACGCGACTTGAAAGTTTTTATGTGTTCACAATACAACGACGCTGTTTAGTTATTTCACTGTGTGACACAGTGAGAAATTTTGGAATCATAATGGCGTCAGCGATACTTGCTGAGGAGCTCTTGCGTACGACTTTCTGTACTGTTGTCTCCAGGACAATTGTGTGTACGGTAACCCGACGTACCCAGATTTTTAAAGACGAAATTGCCGACCTCAAACTTGTTAGTGCCATATTTGGCAACTATATGTGCGTTATTAGTTTAATTAAACAAATGAACAGGTTAATTAAACATAGTACCATTGAAGGTACCTAAAAGTAAACATAACAGCATAGAAGACCGACAGACGATCATAAAATGTTACAAAATAAACATATTTGTCTGGATAAGTTTTTAGGGCGTTACCGGCAAGTTAACACCAACTTGGTGTCAAATAGATCATGGGAGTTACTTTTCTTTGACTTTTCATACAAGGTTACATAAACTTTAACTGTATGACCTGCAGTGGCGTAGCCACGTGGGGGGGGGGGGGGGGCGTGGGGGGGGGGGGCACAGCCCCCATGAAACCTTGTCGCCCCCCCCCAGTCGCCCCCCCCACTGAGATTTTGACTCAATTATCATTGATCTACATGACGCCCCCCCCCATGAAATGTTCCAGCCCCCCCCCCCCCCCCCAGCGCCCCCCACTGAAAAATTCTTGGCTACGCCACTGCCCTTCACCGACGTACAAACACTGTATACTCAGTGTGTAATATTTTGTCTCCGATGGATAAATTAAGCTGTTGAGTGCAAGTTGTGAATCGCATTCTACGGATGTGTAAGAAACAACATTGGTGTCACGGGCGCCCGGGCGTCGCTAGACCATTTTGAATGGGGGTGCCATAATGAAATTGGCCGACGGACTGTCACGCAAACTGAGTGTAATTGATAAATTCCGCCCAAAATTATCCCTTTAAAATTCCATTTCTAATTTTCTCCACAAATATATGCATGGTTAATTATGTTGATTACTTTGAATGGGATTATTTTTTCAGTGGGATAAGTTCAACTTCAAAAGTAAATCATCATAATTTGGCCCTATCATATTGAAAAGTTTTGGACATTTTGCTCATCGTAAAACTTAACTGAGTTAAGTAGCGACGCCCGTGATTTGTGTATTGGTGCTATGTGTTTTACGTGACCCACACAATGTGTATAGTACAGTCGATCACGATTATTACGAGTACGGTTGCACGAGGACACGGTTATCACAAGCATATTTCGTCAGTCCCGACCAAAACGTGCACATTTGTATGGGAGAAAATTGGCTTAATAAAGCATTAACACGAGAGGACGGTAACCATGGGCGTCGCCAGGATTTTTTCGGGGGGGGGGGGCAAAGCAAATTTTCCCCAAAAATTCCTTAACGTTTTCATTATATTCTCAATTTATCATTTTTCCGAGCGTGAGCAGGGGAGCATTTGCCCCCCCCCCCCCCCCATCAAATTAACAGCAATATGGCTCCGCACCTCTTTTTCCTTTTTTGAGTGGTCGGGCACAACCCGACCCTGTTTGGAATTGTGTTCATAAATCTTCTTTCTTTCCTTATTTTTCCGGACAATACTTCTCCGCGGGTTTTCTCCTAAACGGTATATGGTATGAACTTGTAACTTTCAACATAAATTGACCCTCATCCCTAGTGGTGCATATTACTCTAAAGTCATGATGACGTCATCGGGTGTCAAATTACAAGCGATTTTCGTTGGAAAAATGACGAACTTCTTTCACCTATAACTCTTGAACAACACAATCAATCATGTTCCAACCTTGTATTCAGATAGACCATAAATTGATAAACATTTTTTGTCGTGTGCATGAACTCGCTTGACCTTAATTTCCGGGTCAACCGGAAGGTCAAAGTTAGGCGAATTCAAAATGAAGACATTAGGCTGAAATCAAAACAAAGCAAAATTTCTTCCTAACGGTTCACGGTCTGATCATAAAACATAGTATGAACTTGTACCATGTTACAAAGATGTTATAAATTGTGTTATGTCATCATGACGGTCATCAGATATCAAATTACAAGCGATTCCAGGGCAAATTTTGACAAATTCGTTTGCACTATATCTTTTGAACTGAATAGAGTATCGTGTTAATTTTTTTGTGAGGTTGTAGACTATGCCGTGAGAAACATTTCTTGTCCCCAGACACAAAACCGCTTGACCTTTACTTCCGGTGTTACCGGAAGTGCAATAAAAACCGAATATAACTCAAAAGCGGAAGCATTTTACTACACACATATAAATTATGAAAGTGTTTAGTGAGAAATGCCAGTCACAAAAAAGTGTGATGACGTCATCATTCAAAAGGACGCCCCCTAGCGGCACATTTAATATTGTTTGCTTTCTTTATTTTGAAAACCATCCGTTCAAATTTTACCAAAATGCCCCTTGATATTCTCTGATTAACCACAGAAAACTTGGCAAGGTTTCAAATTCATGACGTAATCAGACCGGAAGTAACTTCTATGAGAATTTGAAAATGATCATATTTTCAATTAAATTCTATCATTTGATCCATGTTGTATATCTTCGTAGTCCAAATAACGATATCCATTACAAATTTACAATGTTCACCTTTTGCTTCCAAATACTGTGACGTCATCAAACCGGAAGTAAGGTGTTATAAATACTACACTTATATTTTCCAGATTTTCATGCGTTAATTATAAACTTCACAATGGATATTTATCCACAAATCAGTATCACTTCCCGTTTGTGAATAATGACGTCATCAAGCAAGAAACTAGAGGTTCGCGTTTGTTGAGTTACAAACGCAGAGTGGTCGGGCTGGCATATTTTCTTGTGTTTACAGTGACTTAATCAAAATTGAACTGCACAATACCCCTCCCATTACCCTGCACCCATTACCCTGTGTTTTTCACAAAGAAAATCAAACAACCTGCAGTTGAATTTGTTGCTTTACCTCGACAAGACTTGTAGGCAGGCGCGGTTCTACGGGGGGGGGGGGGGGGGGGGGCTTGGGGGGGGGCTGTAGCCCCCCCAAAATTTTGTCTAGCCCCCCCAAAATAAATTCCGTAAAAAAAAAGTGCATTAGCAAAAAGAAGGATTGCGATGTACATGCGAACGGTCTCCCCTTAAAGAAGAAATAGCCGTGAATGATTTTAGGATTTTATTGGCGCAAGCCATTGAAAATATGG